CTAATAAGCGAGAAATGGCCATTCCAGTCTCCCTTGTCTTTGTCGGTAATACCATTCTGCCTACATATATATATATGTATATGCGGAATGATATTACCGACAAATACAAGGGAGACTGGAATGTCTATTTCTGGCTTATTAGCCGTCGTCAGCCAGTCATACTTAACCCCGAAGTGTGGCACACCCGAGGCTTGAACTCGCGACCTGTTTGTCAGAAGTCCACGCCTCTAACCACAGAGCCACGAACCCCTTGCCCTGTCAGTTTTCGATCGGGAATATACAATGGTAGAGGGCGTTCAGCGATCGTTCTTAAGGAACTCACTCGTTCCGTTGTGTCTTATGGGCTCTCTCTCGAGCCCAACCAGCAGCCGCACAGTGACGCCTGATATAGGCAGAATGATATGACGGTTGATGCCGCGTGCAAATGCCTCAAGGAGAAATGGAAGTAACGAGAGCCAATCGGGACGGAATGACGCAAATAGCAGCCGCTCACGGGCGCAAACGCGAACGATTATCGATTTTTTACGTGCACTGCCAGATGTTAACTGTTGCCGCCACATTTACTCTCAGTGTGCGTCTGACGACGACCTGGGGAACCGGCGTAATTAAGTACCTTTTCCCAAAGAACGCCTCTGCCTTCAACATATATATGTATAGCAGCAGGGATGGACGACATAGAATGCGGGTAGATTGATACAGTACTGTTTCGCACTTACTTTACCTTAATTCAGCCAACCACAACCCTGACCAGCAGCTGGGACCAGAAACACAAATATGCCTCCCATACGGAGCTTGTTTGCTTCGTAAAGCCAATGGATCGGTGTGTGCCTATTGCCGATTGAATAAATACCCGATCTGCAGCGACAGAGAATGACAGGTGGCGAGGCACTGATGAACTTCTGTCCGATGAAGAGCCTAGGGCCCATCTGATAGAACCCGGTGGTGGACTAACTGCACCAGGTGTGTCTGTACGCATGTTTGCGTTTCTGGGCCCAGTTGCTGATCAGGATATGATTGGCTAAATGAAGGCAAAATAAACTCGAGACAGTACTGTATTAGTCTACCCGCATTCTCATGACTTTTCGAGCTGATGATACCAACCCGTCACAAGACGAAATAAACGGAGGAGAAAGTGAAATGGTCAGACAAAATTGGTTGGTGGGACAGGGCAGCCCACACATTGGCGTTTCACTCCACACCCCCTGGCCCACACAGCAAACAACCAGGTTTTGACCAATTACAAACATACCAACGTGTGCGACGTCTGCCGGCAACCGGGTCTGCCGCCGCAGCTCGAAATGTTGGAATGTGTTATAGTGTGCAAATCCGATAACGCCTGCCAGAATCCCATATGGCCCCATGTTGGTCCATTGCATCTGCCGCGTGTCCGTTTGACGGGCAAACACACACGTTGTCGACGGTGTCCAGCGTAGGCTCCAGACCAAGGTGAGAGCAGGCACGGCGACTTGTGCGTGATTTGGTTTATAGAGAATGTAGACTTGCGCTGCATCTACCGCACTCACTCCTCCTCCCCCGCCTGAACCCGGTGTCAAGAAGACCGGAGGCAGAGGAGGGCGCAGGTGGACGGCACGGTCGAGCCCGCATCTTAACGCTCGACTCCACACCACTTGGTCCACAAAACAAATGACCAGGATTTCAACCAACAAAATCAAGACTGGCTGCCACGGCCGAGAACGCAGATAGGCATGCCAGATCGCACGAAGTGAGAATGCCATAATTGCCGCATTAAGGAGGCGCCATTGCAGCCTGACTTTTGGACTGTCGAATGTTGTGCGGTCGACAAGATAAAGATTCCCAATCAAAAGTCAGGGAAGACGGTTTGAGTTGGACAACCTTTACTGCCTGAGGAAGTGCACACACAAGGGCTCTGTAGGCAGTCGCCGTAAGCGCGCTCCAAGCAAGCTGTTGTCTGAGTCCGTCTTCGGGGTGTTGTCAGCGCGTGTGTGCGCCCTTTGTTGTCTCCACGTCGTCGGCCAATCAGAGTGGGGAGAGCGTTGATTGACTTCGAGCAATCGCGCGTCCCAGCAGCGTATCGACAAGGAGTGTGAGGCGGAAAGGACGGCAGCGTGACAAAGGCGGAGGGTGAGGAGACGCGAACTGCCACAGGACCACCAGCCAGACGCTTCACGCAAAAACACAACACTGAGTCAACTGCAAGGTCCAAGTATTCTCGTAATTTGGCAACCTCCCATGCGCACCGTAATAGCTTTAAACGCGTCGGATAGTTTATAGTGAGGAAAATGCGCTGAGCCGTCAACCTCACTCTCCCTTCCCATTCGCAGGCCCCAGTCACTGTCTGAGCCGGTCAGCTGACAGGTGGGTGGAACGGGCGCGGTGGTTGACATACCTAGTGACCTTGTCTGCGAGCATCACACGCATGACATGACCCCCCCGACCCAAGTAACAGGATTTCACACAGCACGGCTTGCGCAGCATACATCTCACATGGGAGTAGTCGCTGCTGCCCGAAACAGCGTCTTAGGGTTTTTTGCACATCAAGTCCTTCAGAAGATGAAGATGCGATCACTGGGACAAGAAGTTTATTTGCCTGACGTTTCGGATTCTTACTCGAATCCATCACCAGAGACATTCGCAGATAGAGGTGAAGGTGGCACCAGGAGTGCAGTATTTATAGCACGTGGCTGCCGTGGGACCGTATGCGCACTGCAATTAACAGTTCTCACAATCGCCTCTGGAGTCGCAATTGATGCGGCGGTGGCTTGGCGGTCTGAGTCCAAATTGTTAATTGCCGCGATTTCGTCATCCGTGCTCGATGCTGGTGTGACGATTGCTCGGCTATAAAACCTGCACTCCTGGTGCCACCTTCACCTCTATCTGCGAATGTCTCTGATGATGGATTCGAGTGAGAATCCGAAACGTCAGGCTAATAAACTTCTTGTCCCAGTGATCGCATCTTCATCTTCTGAACTGCTACCTGGGACTCGCCTGTTCGCTTCTATCATCAATCAACTCCTTCATTGTCGTCTCCACTGTCTAAGTCCCTATAGTCACGACTTGATCTGACGACTGCGACGTCTAGTGCAAAGTCACTATCAGAGCCGACATCACTCCCGCTGGTCAACCTGTTGGGCTGGAAAGATCGTCTCAAATGGACTACCTCAGTTCTCATTACTTTCGAAAAAATAAAACCAACCTGACTGGAGTGATACTTCTGGTACGTCGAATTTGTTGTACTCACCTCCCTTATCAGTTATAGTTTCGACATTTCTGCGAGTCATCTTATGCAACAGTATCTTGCTGACCTTAGCATTCTTTCGCAACAAGTTTTCACCTGTTACGATACATCTGATTGCAAGTTACTCCCTCTAGACGGTCCGCAATTTTGTCAAAAATGAGAGGTCCACATCGCCACAGATAGCAGGGTTACAACCTTCGACGTCTGGTCGTGTTTTAGCACATTTTTACTCAAAGAGATCTACCAACGTAACTACAGCTTGTTGTTTGCCGCTGAGATTCACAATGCCGGCGTCATTCACATTTACCTACCATTTTATTATTTAAAAGTTTTATGATTCCCTTACGCTTCGACGTCGCCTCACGGCGACCCTGGCTGTAATTGGCGTTACTCTGGTGACTCACAGTCGGGAAATCGTGTCAACAAAGCTTGTATGCGCTAACAGTTGACCGCTGCTTGTTCTCCTGTATAACGTGCGCACTAATGTTTAATGGTTGCCAGGACCTAGCAGTGCCAATTTTTACGACACTCATTGACTGGCGACTCAATGTGAACTTGGCGAACTGTTTGCCTGCGCAGACCCTACAGCCCGTAATCACTGATGAGCTCCGAAGTCAGCCGGGGTTCGCTAGTGCTATCTCGTACCCTATGACACAAAAACTGTTGGTTCAGCTGTCCTGGTGTTGGAATAGAGTGGAGAGGGAGAGGGAGAGGGAGAGGAAGAGGGAGAGGGAGAGGGAGAGGGAGAGGGAGAGAGAGAGAGAGAGACAGAGGCGGGAGGTGCAGGCAGCCGGCACGACGAAAACCGGTACTTAAGCGTACTGCCACACCTCCGCCCATAACGTACACAGGCCAAGGTTTCACAACAAAAAGGGAGTAACTCGAATCTCGACTGGCGTGGCGTGGCGCGAGCCCGCACCTGGGCGTACCACCACGGGCCTACTTCGACGCTTGTCAATGACGCTCACTCCCGAGCACGCCTGCCGGGTCTCCATCTAGCCCCCAGTGTTGGTCCAGTACACATACCGCGTGGACCATTTCAAGGCCGCCTATCAGTTAGTGTAACTCGTAAGACTGTCTTGGTGTATATTGGCGCTCGCTGTAGTAACAGCAAATTTGCTAGAATCTATTCTGTGTCCCTCACTCATTTGCATCAAAATCTCTCATTATGACTTCGGCTCTCTCAGGTCTACCGGGGTTTTTATGTTGCCAGACAACTCAGCTAATCGCCACTAATCGGAACTTTGTTCATAGCTGTACTTATTCCTGAATTAACCGATCTCCATGATGTTGTGAATTGTATCTAACCGAGCCTGATGATCTGCAAACAGCCAATCTGAAATGCTGGACTCAATCGCTTCTGTGGCGACAGAAGGTCCAGGAACCACTTCCTCGTATGGCCAAACTGTGTCGCAGGTAATGACGCTGGATCGAGGGTAGCAACACTGAGCTCATGAGGGAGATGAAAGTGCCCAAACGACCTACGCCGTCGCTCTGGCGTCGCATCTGGCGTGGCAGACTAGACAATCGAAATCCGAGTGGCCTAACTAAACGAAGCACATGTCCCTTTTTTCACAACAGAACGCCTTTTAACTCTCCACAACCCTGCTAAGAATAAGGAAAAGACAGGAAACAAAAGGCGGTGCAACGCTGGAACAGCAAAACAGGGGTTGACTACAGGGTGGGAATGATATGCAGACTGCGCTGGAGGCATGTAGGGCGCGGAAAGAACCACATGCAACAGAAAGCGGACTCACAAATAAACCTAGTCATGCGTAGAAAGTTACAGTTTGCAAAGACAAAATATGACAGGCAAGAAGGCAGCCAAACAGACAACAACTGGTATTATATATGAGTTGTCCATGGAGCTGTAGGGGTCGGGAGCGGGAGGGGCGTTAATTGGCAACGATCGAGATCGCCTTGCGGGTGTGGGAGTGGTGAAGGTAGAGGGCTCTTCGGGCTCCGGCTCCTGCGGCAGTGGTGGCAACTTTGGCACATCTGAATGGCAAGAAGGCATTAAGGAAACATATCGTAATGGCTTAGTACGAAAGGTACATACGCCAGCGCATCATATGAAACGATTACTACTACTGGAGATAGGGGGATGGGGGATGAGTCAAATTGCCAAAAAGCTGATCGCCCACTTTACATGCAGCAGTTCTCACTTACTCCGGTGATAACCTCTCTCTCTCTCACTCTCCCCCCCCTCCTCCTCCCTCTCACTCTCCACCTCCCTCTCCCCCCCTCTCCTTCCCCCTCCCTCTCTCCCTCTCCCCCCCCTCCCCTCTCTCGAGTCAACTCTTGTGAAGACGAGGTCACGCACAGTGACTGACGTGGTAGCTAATGGCCTTCTAACCTGGCAGACCTCCGACTAGGTCTGATGCCACGACGCAGCCAAACAGACTGCGTCAACAAGGCGCTCAAAATGAGGCACATAAGGTTCGAGGCTCGTTGGAAGAAAGGAAACGTCATCAGGTGGCTTGCTTAGTAAATCCTTCAGTAATGTGGGAGAGAAAAGGGAAGGAGACATGAGAAATAAAGGTATAAATCACGAAGACGGTGCGCAGTATGATCGTGCATAGTTAGGTGGCATGTAAAAACATTCCGGTTGGCGATCAACGTTTTCTACTGTGAAGTAAAGAACCGTGGTTTTTACTTTCCAACCCAGTCAGATGGTGTCGACCTGACAAGGAGAGCGTGTCGCAGTACAAACAACCCGTTCCGCAGGGATCCATCGATCGTAATGAATTCACGACATCTATCTAGCCAGCGGGGGGCATAGCGGACGGACGGGGTCAGAGGGCTCTCTGATTCGGATCCCAGGCAGGAGCAAATCTTTGGTGAAAATCCAGTCGTCTTCTCATTTAACTCAAATAATTACATATTGTTTAGTTAGTAGGTAAAAGTGCCCTCTTTTGACTTTAACCTGCTGTTTTTACCGTGTGACGTTTCGGACGTTGCGACTCCTCGAAAAATGCAGTCGGTGCTGGCGTGAACTGTCAGACATAATAACGACAACTTCGCGTCTGATGTTCTCGCATAATTGGATAATTCTTAAGGAGAGAGATGAAGTAGGGGGGAGGGCTCTGGATTACATGCTTTAGCGGAAATTAGTTTTTTGTCCACTGCAGTATAAGCTGTTTGCGTGCTAACTGGAATAATACTTCCCACGCAGACGTCTTGGTTGGACGAAGTACATACAAGAAAATATTAACGCCTGTGGGGTCGCATCATACCTTCGATATTTCCTTTGTAGAGAATAATTGCGTTCACTTTGGGGTTGTCGCTGGTGCCCTAAAAAAGAAAGAAACGCATCCGTACCAGCAAGTGTTGCTTATCGAGTAAATGCGCCAGACAGGACTTGGGTCTCGAGCTAGAGCCTGTGTCTATAAGTCACAAATAGGCTGGTTTACCCCAAGCGAGCAATTGATTTTTGGAGAAATTTATAGGGCTGCAATTTCAAAACTGGACTATCTACCAGAAAGCACGTGGGAGACCCACTGAGGGGCCGAACCCCTTGCAGTTGTGTCATGCGGAGGCAGAATATCGACGAAACACGCGTGTATATACTTTTGGCTGGCACCTGTGTGGTATATAGTGCAACCTTTGTACATACTGTGCCCCCAAAGCGGGTCACGTGGTAGATGCGTTGGACCAACACAGGAGCCATATTGGACTCTGGCCGGCGTTGTTGGCTTTGCTCATGGTAACAAATGCCAACATTTTCGGAGTGTAATGGTGGACCCGGTTGCCGACGTACGTCGCGCACACTGGGACCCCGCCACACCCCCAATTGTTGTGGTTAATCAAAAACTTGGTTATTTGTTGTGTGGACCAGGAAGTACGGAATGAAAGGCTAAGGTGCGGGCTTGACCGTGCCATTCACCTGCGCTCTCCCTCGCCTCCGGTCTTCTCGACTCTGTCTTGAAACCGAGTCCAGTGGGGTAGGAGGAGAAAGTGTGGTAGATGCTGTGCAAGTCTACTATTGCTGTAAACTAAGATTTCGCACATGTCACCGTCCCTGCTCTCACCCTGCTGTAAAGCATACGGTGGGCATCGTCAGACGCGACGGTCGAACTGTCGTATGTACATACGACTCGCTGACTGTTGACAATTTATGGATACTATGCGTAATATAGTTTTAAACGGGCGGTAATAATAAATATGTTAATAAAAACCACTTCACGTTTACAGTACTGTACAGTAATGCACTCGTTTTACTCGCTCCGTTATAATATATGTACTATGATTAGTACTTTAACGGCGACTAGCGCACGTGCATCCCAATGTGATCTACTAACTTTTTTCTGAGAATGTGAGCAGCACCAACACCTCCCCTTCAATTTGTTCAGTACCGCTTATAGCGGGGACTGGCCTGCGTCGGCTGCTTTGACCGGCGCACGCGGTTTGACCGGCGGCTTGGTGGCAGCTTGCGTCGTGGTCATCCCGGTTTCCACTGTGTGATGTGTTTAGATTATGGCTGGTCGTGGGCGCTACTTTCATGCGGCTTTTCTTCTATAAGTAAATAATAATTATGGCAATATTTATTCTGAAACTATCTGATATGGATCGTCGCGAAAGCAATGGCATGGCAAGGCATGAACCGAGGCGCTCTGGTAGGAGTAAGTGCTCTGCTCTTAATGCACACGGACGGAATCTACTGCCGAAAAAAATCTTGGCAGTTAGCCGGGATGGCTTCAGTAACCCATTTCACTGAGATGGGGGGGGGGGTCGAGGGGGGCCTAGAGTTTTGGGTTGCTCGTTTTTTACGACATATGCATGCTTAGGTCCACAGGAGAACGAAACGGGCATCTGGAGTGGAGAATGGCAAGCGAGCATGCCTGAAATATCATGGTCACGAATGCTACGGCTTCTGCTCCACATATCGCACGCTACGAGTTACACTACTATCTTAAGGGCCCTGTAATGATTTGTGCATGCATTTGCTTGCAGCGACAAGAGCTTGGGCATCAACTGCTTTCTCATTTAAGCACTCGGCATGTTCAAATGTTCATGCAAAATCAAGTCGCCATAACCAGCGTGGCTATAGCGGCAGGTAAAAGAAAATTGTCAGTCGACAGCTTGACCATTGTTACTAATGATATCTCCGGGCGCTCCGCAGCAGGGTGAGAGCAGGAACAAAGACTTGCACGTAAATCTGTTCATAATGACGGTAGACTTTTGCAGCATCTACTGCATTCCCCCTCCCCCACCCGAGTCCGATGTTATAACAGTCAAGAAAACTGGGTGTGGATGAGGGAGCAGGCGCTTAAGCGCGTGCCACGACATTCCCTAGTCCACAATGTACACTGACTAGGATTTTATGCAAGATGGAAGAAATGGGGGTGTGCCTCGGACCCTACTGCAAGGTGTTTCAAAGAAGCCACGGTAAGAAGCCATTGCAGCCTGACTCTCAGTCCACCAGTTGGCGACTCCACGAAAACACGCACTGGGCTGGGTGCGAGGTCCGAGTTATCCCGTCAGTTGGCAGCCTCCCAAACCGCGGCTTTTAGCGAACTGTGATAGTCTCGAGTGCATCAGATGGTCTACAATGACTTGGGAAGCAACTTCACTCGCTCTGCCTTATTCCGTACACTAGTCGACTGTCCGAGCTGGTTGATCAACTGATACTAAGATCGTGAGAAAAGTGACAAACTGCATGCGCCACACAGGTGACCGATCTCAAGCCAGGCTTAAAACGGAAACGGTACCTTATATCTCACAGATGTTAAATGCACCACAAACCGCCACCAAACCTGATGCAAACAATGCTCTGCAATCAGTTTGAGACATCCCAAACGAAAGCTGCAGGCGTTTGATGACAGTTTGTGGTTTAAACTATTCCTCCCACAAGTAAGCAATCATAATGGCGCTCAGGGGCATGATAAAATTCAGAAGAGAAATGCGCACCTCTGTTTATACTTGGGGATTGGCGGCTAAAGCTCTAGAGGGTGGTCGTAGAGTAATGAGCAACCACATGACTACTAGGTGTTATCGACAAAGACAAGTGGGACTAAAACGGCTTAACTGCCACCATCGATCGCTAGGCTGCATATAAGCCCAGCCATGGAAGCTCAGACAGGTTGAACTAGTAATATAAATCTTTGCCTATATTGTTAAGGTTCTTCCTTAGTAAGTTTTAAATGTACTTTACAAAATCAGCAAGTTGACTTCAGGAAAACCTCTCGATAGCACTAAAAAAATGGCCTATGTTAATAATAACAGTTGTACGAATATGGTGGTAGGGTGAAAGTGAATTAACGCTGATCTGTGCGTCTAACTGACCTTAAGAAAATTGATCGTAATGGAATTTTGTCCTGTGATGTCCATGGAGGAATCTCCAATTTGAAGAAGATTATTTCTTATGGACAACGGTATGTACTCGTCGTGCGCTGTAATAAAGCCGACTCTAGCAAAAATATCCAGGTCCGAGACCACTTTGATATATTTGTTGATAGTTACATCAAAAACCTATAAGGGATGTAAGAGTGATGTGTAGTTAAGTCCTCGACATCAGAGAACAACTGAAAGATCTCTAAAGGCCTTAGCAAGGTAAACTGTGTTCTCATAGAGGCCAATCTTCGAATGCCGAGATTCGCCGAAGAAATATTCTCTGGAGCAATATTAGAAACCATCGTGGCTGATCAGGGTAAACCAATGCGAAAGGATGAAAGTAGAATGGAGGTTCAGGAACTCAGGTTCATTTCCTTGAAAGACATCCGGGTAAGACGTGGGTGAGACCATACAGGACCGTTGTACGGTCCTTATACGTAGTCCTTTAAACTTGCAAATAAATAAATAAATATGCCATAAATGCGTTAAAGCACAGGCTTTGGCGAGTGGCATTTCGGCTTAAGCAAACACGCGGCCAGAACTACCTGATAAGTCTTCGCCAAAGGCATTGAAAGATAGCATATTAATTAAAGTGGAATAATTAGGGGGAAACGTAAGGTGCAAGTTCTTCATGATTCATGATGAACCTACGCCAACGTCTAAGTCCTCAAAGGCATTAATGGCTCTAGAAAAGCTAGATGAACAGGTAGAATCATGTTTAGGTAGGAAGCTAAGATGGTTTTAGAGGCATGCAAATCTGAGACCCAAATTTACTCAACGAGTTTTGATCAAATAATTGCTTTGGAATGAAAGACAAGCAGGTCGTATGTTACGTGTTGTTAGAGTGCACCAGTTCGAATTCCCTGCAAAAAATAAAACGTAGTACCTTGCCGCCTGGCCTGTCAAACCAAACTTCCGAAAACTTGAGTGTCAAAACGTAGTCGCCGTCCGACGGCCTCGGGAATTCATAGGAAAAGTCTCCTGTGTCGTATCGTTCAGTTTGATATAAAATTAAATCCTCCTCGGGAACCCGCCGGAAGGATCTATATCTGGTTCCGTAATCAGATGCTATGCCCACATCGAGGGGGTCTGCCATGTATTCGACGCCATTGACGTCCTCGTGGAAGGGGCCACCGCAGTTAACGGCCCACAGGGCTGCCCCGTGTCCCCGAACACGGAAGATTTCACACAGAAAGGCGAGGACATATGCCAGCGTGAGTGGCAACATTATAAAGACCTTGCCGAGCCCTGAGATGTATATTCGTCGGACCCAACTATAATGTGTACAAAGAACATGATGAAAACGGTAACTTTTATTTGGAAAAGAAACAAAAATGTTTAAAAATTGTACTATTCGCGCGTGGTCCCGCGGAACCGCGTAATTCAATAAAATGCCCCGAAAGTCAGAAACATATACAACGACATAGGAAGCATATACTAATCCAAGCCACATCCGCTTGGAAAGATCTAAAATGCTAATTGCAAAAGTATGGTGGCGAACTGTGTTTCAACTGGTCATGAAACGGTAAACCAACTTGACTTAAGTTACGAAACTAAACGCTTTTGGGGAGCGATCTATACATATGGGCAGATCCAGACTCACCAGCGACTACTCAAGAATGTCAGCGCATATTTACCTGAAAAATGAGTGGAAACAGGCGTATTAAGCAGACCCGGTCGACTAGCCTATGCCACCGCGACAGTTGGGATGAACAGCCTGGTCTAAACGCGGGAGTAATCTTGTAGGGTCGCCGGTGCCCACGCGATCACTATTGGTCACACACACCTGTAGCTGACGAGGACCTCAAGGGTAGCACACAAACTAGTAAGGAAACGCGGAGAGCAAATCCTGGAGGAGATAGACCTGAACAGAACTGTTAACCTCTCTTGAAACTCATTCACACGCAGCAGAAGAGGGTACGTCGTGAAAGGGATACAGTATCATATAACGAGACGGCACGGAAAATACGTATAATAATAATTGTTACTTGTACAGGTAGAATGAATTACAACCGTAGAATAACCTGTCTGGGTGGAGAGGCAATACCGACATTCCAGCTCATTAACCGGTGGGGAATGAGGCGCTGTGGGCGACTGCAGGGAAGGGTCGAAGAAGGTGCCGACATAGCGACGAGGAGAGCGCTACGAACGTTACGGTACGGTGTGGTGGAGGGGATCGGCGGAAGAGAGAGGAATGGACACCGGAAATCTTCACCGACACGCGGCTAAGCCATCTCCACCCTAGGTCCTCGAGCCGAAAAGTGTTACCACATTCAAATAATCCTCTTCATGTCCAGGGGCGTTACACACCTGATGAGTGATTAGTTAGTTTTATTTTCCCGTCTGTTCTTGTGTGAACTCCGCTTCGAAAGGACTAGAATGGGACACAGAATTGTTGTCTGCCGTGGACAGTTTCCTCTCTTTTATAACCTTGAAGTTAAATTGAGGGTCTGAAGTCGGAGCATCCAATATTCTTTGCATCGCATCAGAAGTAAACATCAAGTGTGACTAGCACAGGCAGATTCCGTTGGGAAACTGTAATATAACGGAGAATATAAGCGTGTATAAACGTCAGTTACAAACAAATAATGAATTGCACTCAGAAACTAACAAAAAGGGCATTCCCGGGAGAGTATGTACATACATAAGGTTACTTGGTTAACCCCAGACAAAACGGAAGACGTAAAACAAAATGTAAAAACGACAAACGAGAAAACGAACATAAAACAAATGAACATGCGAATTAGCAGATATACAGGCCAGCGATTTTGACCGGGTCCATGTGTCCAGCTTGGTCCGGAATTGCCTACAGGATGAGTATTCAGGTATTTATTAAAACAAGTACGGAAACCTATGTTCTGTCTGGGCTGTTACACTGAGAATATTTGTAACACCCCTGTATCCTTGATTTAGAAGATGAGAAGTCGCATAGTCTTATTCTTGGTGACGCCGTTTTGGTTTTATTCTGTCATTTCGAAACATTTCGGTCTTATAACTCCATCACACTCTGCCAACATTGAGTATTTCAACACTTGCGAGACATAAAGAAACAAAGTTGAGAAGCATGCTTATAAAGACGCGCCGAGAATTTCAGAAAAAATTGCTACAAAAACCAACACAGAACCCAAAATTAGCCTACAGTTACCTCAAAAGATTTACAATGAACAGGAACTAAATCCACTTTATAAGGACTACTGGTGGCACTGAGATTGTTGATATCACGGACAAAGCTAAATATGTACGCAGTTTTCCAATCAGTCTATACAAGTGAGGCAGGGCTCCTTCCTCCCTCCACATAAGAACTGCTGACCCCGAGAGTCAGTGATAAACTCTTCTCTGAAGATATGGTCCGTAGAGGAGCAAGGGCATTGAACGAATCGAAGTCACTGGGATCAGACGAGATTCCACTGAAGCTTCTCAAAGAACTCGCCAGTGAGTTTTCTGCGCCTTTTTCGATGCTCTTTCAAATGTCATTTGACACTGGAACACTTCTTATCGATTGAAAGCTAGTATATATTACTCCGCCATACGAAGGTGGTAGCAGTTCATCGACGACTAATTACAGACCCAAAAACTTCAAATGCATTCTCTGTAAAGTTATGGAAAGTATCATAAACAATGAAGTGTTGAAATTCCTGGAAGTCAACGACTTGCTACGGAACTCTAAACACGGGCTCCGGAAAGGTACATCATGCACGACAAACTTGCTGCAATCAATCCAGAGCTGAATCCGAGATCTCGACAACGGACACGCGATCCACATAACTTTCCGTGACTTCCAGAAGACATTTGACACTGGGCCACAGCAGAGACTGTTACACAAACTGAAAAAATAAGGATAAGTGGAAACCTCCTTAAATGGATCCAAAACTTCCATTTGGGTGTACACCAGGTTGTGTGCATCTGTCATGGAAAATCAGGTCCTACTGTGGTCAAAAGTTGTGCTTCCGGGATTTCGGTACTGGCACCCATTTTGCTCTTTATATACGTGGACGATGCCGCAAAAGCTTTGGATTGCGAAACAACAATGTTTGCAGACGACATAATGGTATGGAGTGTAATAAGAGGTCCTGCCGACGAAGCCAGACTGCAGATGAACCTCAATCGGTTGCAGGAGTGGTCAGACCGTTGGCTCGTGCAGTTCAACGATGGTAAATGTAACATACTTCGTCCAGGCAACGCAACCATATCCGCCAGCACAAGAGACTACTTTCTGGGCGGTGCATCATTACGAGAAGTCGAAGTCCAAAAGGACCACGGTGTGCTGATGACTAGTTCCCTAAAAGCGTCTGCTCATTGTTCGACAGTGCCTAAAAGATCAATTTCCGTACTGTACGCCATCAAGCGTGCGTTTATGGATTTCGACGAATATGTTTTCTCAAAGACTTTTGGAACACTAGCGCTGCCGCACTTGGAATACGGCATATAAGCCTGGAGACCGTGGGCAGTTCAGGGCAAAAATGCTCTCGAAAGGGTTCAGTGGAGAGTCACGAAGACGGTTAGGGGTCAAAGCTCCTTTCCTTATTCAACACGCCTGGTAAATTTGAACCTCTTCCGTTTGAGTTATAGGAAACTTGGCGAGATCTCTTGTAAGCATTCTGCATAGTGAATGGGTTGGACTCCAGCCTGGCCTTTCGGGACTTTTTGTCTTCGCTAACACAACCAAATTCCGTGGTCACCTGTTCAAACTGCGCACCCAGCAGACAAGACTGAATATGCGGAAGTTCTCCTTTTCTATTCGAGTGGTCAAACCGGGGAATGCACTCCCTGCAGATGTTATGATGCCAACATCGATACAAAGTTTTCAATAAAACCTTGACATCTTTATGTTCCGAAATAACAAAGAGGGATGAGTGATCGAGCTCACCCCAGTGGCTTTCTCCGATTTTTCATACCATTTTGGGCTGGTTTAAATTATTTCAGCCCAAATAATTGACCTGTACACCGCACCTAGTTTTACCTTGCAAATAGGATACTCAAAGGCTTACGCCTATTTCCCTCAATAAGCTGAACTGCACAATAATACGAGTATAAACATGAACCAAATATCGAACTATCTATTCAACTGCCGACCGAAAAACAATTATAAAAATGCGTATCAGTAGTTTGATTACGTGGACTATGGACTTATTTCAGGGGCAGAAATCTGACGTCACAACGCAAGCGATAAGCCCTGTCCACCTTCCGATCCAACCTCGATTTTTTGCCTGGCCTCCATTCAGTCAAACAAAACTCCGTCCCAGGGACTCTACTACACTATGCCTCCTTCAAAAGGTGGCCATATCCGCAGGACCACTGGGCGGAGCATCACCCACCAGGACTTCGGTAGTTGGTGAAGGTACCAGATGCGGTGAAACAATTGGCAGCATGTTCGTCGTTGTGGTGGGTAGGCGCCCTATGTACGGATTAAGCTTGTGGAGGTGGGTCGTAGAAACTGGTCCGACTGGATGTATGGCGTCTTGAAATACGTAGTTGACCGGGGGTCATGGCGTCCTAGACTACAATTCCTGGCTCCCTCCAATGGTGCCGGCTGTTGTGATTTCAGAACGGGGAATTCACACGACTTTCGAACTCTGTTAGTGTTCGAGTTGTCGTGTGGGTTATGGTTGGGGTTAGTTTAGGAGTTAGGGTTAGGGTCTGGGTTTGGTACAGTTTAGGTTCATGATAAATTTTACCGCTGGGTTTAGTAGTGTGGCTTGGTTAGGGTTAGTGTTAAATCTGAGGCTAAGGTCAGGGTTGGTGTTAAATTTGAGGTCAAGGTTAGGGCTAGAGCTAAGGTTGTGGTTAAGGTTAGAGTTCATGCCAGGGTCAGGGTTAGATTTGGTATGAAGTTTAGAGTTAGGTGTAGGGTTAGTTTTAGGACAAATTTGAGACAAGGGTTAGGTTCGGGGCTAAGGTCGGGATTTGAGTTAAGATTAGGTTTGGGGTTTGATAGAGCTTGAGTTCATTATATAGTGTACTGTTTGTATTAGTCATACAGCTCGGTCAATTTCCTAAACTAAGATTACAGTCAGTTAAGATTGGGATGATTTAGAAAGAGGGAAGGAGGAGAAGGGATGTACAATTGTTCTGGCGTCGAGGACTTAATTAGCGCCACTTATCGTGACTAGCCAGTTTTAATTTCTCTTGTTATACGGATGATTTTCTCGCTCTTTCAGCAGTATGTATGTATACATACTGTTGAAAGAGCGAGAAAATCGTGTATGATGTTATGTCTTACTTATTAGTTCTTCCTCAGTCTTTGTTTCTTTACATCGCACCTTTAATTGAAGTTGATGTTGCAACTGCGCAGTTTTCTCGTTCTGTTTTATTGGTTACGCACAATGGGCCGTGTAGTCCACCTTTTATTCCATATTTTCCGTTCACTTTTCGGCCTAGTAAAATCTGACTGATAATTTTCAGTATTTTCCTGCTCCGTTGTTTTCTTTGTCTAAGTATCTATTTACTTGGGGTTTCTTTTGCACCTTCTGCCCATTGTCCATCTTCGGGACTTTTTCATTTGCAGCGATCTGTCTTATAACATGACCATTTCCCTGACCCGCTCTCATGTTCGGACGCGGTGTTGCACGTATCCATCTCCATTTACAAATGATTTAATTGCTTTCAATTCACGTAATTTTCCCCTTTTCGGATCACAGATGTCTCTGAACTTGGCTTATGAGGGTCATCACTGAGCCGCGACATTGCCTTTTGTGCACAGGGGGAAAATAACGTTTGATTGGGCGACAACTCTGTCGTAGCGAAAAGGAGGATGCAGAGATGGCGGTTGAGCTTATGTTTATCTAATACCAAATGCGAAATGTTTATATAAATTTCTGAGAAAGGTAAGACTCTTTGGTGTTAAAATAACCTTTATTGAGGTCGCTCGCCTTCCATCGGTTGTTGGTTACAGTCCCTTCACACGTCTATTGTCCTCACAAACGAAGAGGTGTAGCACAGTTATAGACCACTCGCATATGCTTAACAGTCGTTCGTAATGTGTTTGCTCTGAACTTTTGAGGAACAAATACTCAGTGTTCCTACTGAAGCCTCATAAAGGCAAGCGAATCCGTGCTGATTAAGCTAAGGAAGACCGCCTTTTACAATTTTAAGGTCGTTTACAGGGGAACTTGACTTATAGGAAGGTATGGCGACCGAGGTTGTACCTTTCGCCGAAACGATTGTTTGTTGTGAGTTTTTACTTCCAAAGGAATTAAAAGGACCGGCTGTATATTGCATACCATCGAGACTGTAAAAAGAAGCTTGTTAGAAAATTTGCCAAAACACCTTTCATCCTTTCCGCAGCCTTGTTCGAAGTCCTGATTTTTAGCCGCCGACAGGAGGTCTCCACGAATTACTCCGCTATTTGCAGGTGACGGCAAGGAGCCCACAACAGTAAAAGAACGATGAGCCTCATAAAGTCTTGGTGTGCCTTTGAGGCAGAATATTTTACGATTTGATGAATAGCGTAGAATCTTTAGAGGCAGGTCTTGCGTGACAGGCTTGGTCTACTATTTAGACCGCTGGACCAGAGCTATTGATGAAGGGAATATGGTCTCTATCGGCTTTAAAAAGGCGCTTAAACGGCTTATTTGTGAATTTGGGGAGTTATTTTTTATTATCCTAATTTGCGTGGTAATTTTTGCAACTATAAACCACGTAGCCTATTTCACCAGTAGTATGCTGACCCTTTCCTTGCTTTCTTTGTCTTAGGCCATCTGTAGAATACGCAAGTGTAGAGTCCCTGCTCCGATTGAGGGCGAACACTAAGGAGAATTAAGGAAAAATTTATAAAAAGTAATGGTGCGTGTATTAAATTGAACCTACTAAAGTCCTCGCTAATGACCTAATGTACAGATGTAGGGCCGCAGGAGTTCTTGCTTAGCAACAAAGTCCGCAGACAACAGAAAGCCGAAACCCGAGCGTCCTATTTCCTTCATCGGTTAACTTTCTGGCGCATTTGTAGGACCTCGGGCGTTGAAGTAGTCTAAAGATTCGAATCCAACGTTGTGATTGGTCAAGTGGCATTGTGAAAAGAAAACAGAGCAAACTCGAGTCATCATCATTCCATCTTATTTGTATTTATAGCATACTTTTATGTTAAGAAATATTATCAGAAACCAAAACTATAGCAAACAAGACATTGCGTTTTATATCACCAATATTCATTGTCATTTGTGGTCCTCCAAACACCAACCCTATAAATAGTAATAGTGATTGTGCGGTCTAGTGGTGTAGGTTACGGTTCATTAGATTAGCAGCATTTTAAGTAAAATTAGATCTTACGCAAGTTCCGTTCCGAATTTGCCGGCAAATTATATGACGTCAGATAGTCCTCTTTGCAGTCAATTTGTCGTACTTGAAATTATTTCGGGCTATCCCACTACTATCACCGAACATGCATACACCGAAAGAAAGTCAGTCAGTTTAAGTCAGTTTATTAAGGAAATGAGGCTTTCGCCCTTCAGCTCCCTATGCATATCGATAAACAGAAATAAAGTCATCAATTACATCAGCAAATGCCGAAAGTTAAAAAATTAGCGGTAAGTGTGAGCCAGACGCAAACTACCGCCGCTAAAACAATCGTTATTGTATGTACAGTAGTTTCTCAACAAATGAGCATCTAGTCTACATTTGAAGGAATCGATACTTTCGAAAAGAACCACTACATCAGGCAGTCCGTTCCATGCCCCAATGGCCCTGTGAGAGAAGGCGTTCCGTCGGACGTCCGAATGGGCCAGCTTCCTCTGCAGCTTGAAGGGATGACCACGCAGGCGGTCAGTCCCGGCCAATTCGAAGAATTCATCAAAGTCTAGGACACACTCACGACCTCTGAAAAGCCTGTAGGTTCGAATGAGATCGCCGCGCAGTTGCCTGTAATTTAGAGGAAACAGATTTAGTTCTGAATTTGACAAATGGCACCGAATCGTCAGCTAAAGGATATTCTGTCATTTCTAGGCTTCCTTCCGTCCACTGTTGCTTGATTTTTAGTAGAACTCATAATACGGAATGATTTTTTTCAGCTAAGAATACAGTATAACCGAAATTATTTGACTTCAGGAAGCAAGGTGGGAAAGTTACACCCAGTCTCATCTAATAACTTCTCCTTCCATCCGCTTCTTTCGAAACAATTGCGAATCCTCTTTATCCAGCAGATGGGGGAAACCATTTCCGTCGAGCAGAACTGATTTGAAACTGTAAGAACGTGTTTACCTGCTCTCATGATCAGATAGATGTTTTCCCTGTTATATGCAGACCCCATTTGTTAAATAATTTTAAAGTAGTTTTATTTGCTAGTTTTTATATTCCACCTTCCACCTGTGAACTAGCTTGGGATCGATTTTTGATCATTTTTCGCAGAAATATTTTAAACTGCCTTTTGATCATCCTATTCTATTTTCAGCGATTTTAACATTTGGACCACTGTGTACTTTTAGACTTTTTCGACTTTGTTTCCTTTAGTTCTCAGCCGCCACCCCTCTCTCCCACTTGACTACACTGTAATGTGCCAAGATATTGGCAATTTTTCTAACTGGTCCCAACTGGTGTGCTCTCCTATGAGAGATAATCACATCTTAGATCTAATCTTTAGCATTGACATTGCTCCTCATTTTGTTGCCCTCACAAATGACTTTTTGATAGTAACCATGTATTAGTTCATTGTTACGTACAGCTTGCCTTTTCCAAGAAGACCAACACAGTTCGGATGTGCATAAGCTACGACTGCGTAGATAACGACTTAATAAGTAACTATGTACATTAGATCTTTGGATGGGTGTGGCTTCCTCTCCTGTAACGATTCAACCATTGTTCGGGAGGTCATGTCCAATGGTTCCAAGGACATCCTAGAGTTTGTGCAGCGCAGATATCTGAAGTCTAATTCTTCAGATTCCCTCGTCCCTTGAATTCTTCGCAACGGACTAAAAAAGTTGAAGCGACAGCGGCGTGACCTGTCTACTTGCTCCTTATCCGTTCATATTAAAATCACAGAGATGTTTGAAAAGGCCTCGAGGGTGCGCTAAGCGCGCGACAGGCAAGGAAAATCGCTAATATCTTCCGTCATCGGTCCTCCTCTAAGCGTGGTCGCGAACTTCCAACCCTGCTAAAGGATAACTAAATCTTTCTCATCGAGGACAATGACAAGGCTGAGTTAATTAGTGCTTTCTTTTCAAAACCCCTTACTACTGGATCCAAACCAGTCCCATTCTTTCGTTCACTTTCAGATAAGACACTAGGTACAATCGATGTCGCCTAGGATCTAATTAAGAAAAACATAAGTCGTTTGGAAACTCACAGTGATCAGAAACGGACAGAATTCCAAATTCGATTATTAAACAGGAATCTACCCTTCTCAATTTGTATTTCAAAGGGACTCTTTACTGAAACCTATAGCACGTCAATTATCATTCCTGTCTACGAGTCTGGATCTCTGTCTGATGTTGATAACCATCGGGGCGTGCGCAAAACCCCGTCTCCAGCAAAACTTCTTGAAAGGAATATTTTCAAGGACTTCTAGGAATTCGGCTTATAAGCTCTAATCAGCATGAATTTCTACCTGAGCGATCCTGCAAAATTGCCACTTGGCATTTCTTAGTCTTATCACTTCTCTCCGTAATGAACACCAGTCAGTGGTAATTATCTACATTGATCGTGGCAAAGCCTTCGATAAGGTGCCCCGTAGAGTCCTTTGGTGAAATTGAAAGCTTTCGGCATCTGGCCGCCTCTGCTCGGATTCATCGGGTCCAATCTATTCAACCGCTATCAGAAAGCCATGGTCGGTAGTATCTACTCAACACTTTACTCGATCAGGAGTGGCGTATTTCAAGGCACAGTTCTGGGCCCGCCACTCTTCCTTCTTTACATCAGTCATATTCCGACTGAAATTAGACATTCACAAACTTTTATTTATACCGATGACCTCAAGTGTGTGTACTCATATTCTCAGGACACTGCAAACGTCTCTGTTGCAAAAAGTAATGCAGAGTTACTACGCTTTTGAAATTGGAGTTCGACATGGTAGATAGAGTTTTCATCATCCAAATGTGGTTTCATGTCTTTTGACCCTGCCAATCTTCCTGATCCCTTCATTTTTCAGAATAACCCACTCTCAGAATGCTTAAACGTAAATAATCTAGGTTTAAGTCATAAAAATGAGCTTATTGTATCACTCATGCAGATGAAAGCTCTACCAGAATAGCGCATGTATGTGGATTCATACTATATACATGACCTTCTTCCGGAAATAAAGCTAAGACTTTATCGAATGTTTTTTTTTCTGTTCCTGAGTACCGCTGCTCTTACTTTGGTTTAATGAACGTCTGCGACGGTAATAAAATCGAAAGCGTCCACAGACTGCAAACAAGTAGACACGATCCCTGGGATGAGAGCTTTATTTTCTTGACGTGTCGAATCCCTGCTCGAACCCATCATCAGAGACAAAAGCATATACGAATGGTTCATGCACAAGGGGGTGCAATATTTATAGGGTGCAGTCGCCCTGCAACCGCACATCTATGAATGTTCACGGCGCCCCCCCCTCTCAGTAGGGATCGTTGCACTTGGTGTGACAACTGTTTACTCTCTGACACTTGCGTCGTTAATTATCGCAATTTCATCACGTGTGTTTGATATTGGTGTGATGGTTGCTCACCATCTTATACAACGAACTTGGCGTTGGGAACAGTGCTCACCTGTGCGCATCCGGCGTGGCTAATTACTCTGTCTTGGTGAAGTCTCATTACCTAGCCAGGAAGGGGAAATCATTGCACTTTTCAATGGACAGTTGCCAGTAAACCATGACTGAAGCAGCTCCCGGCTCACGCGGTCATCACCTCTTGCGAGAATTTCGACCTTGTCAAATTTGAGTGTGTGGCCGGATCTCCTGGGATGAGCCACAATTTGATAGCTGGCGTTATTTCTCCATACCACTGCAGCGTTTTCGGTCATTCGCGCTCGGATCTGTCTTCCGGTTTCTCCGACATAGTTGCTTTGTCCGCAACTGTACCAGATCCGATAAACGGCTTCAGACGTTTCGAGCCGTGGCAGCGGGTCTTTCGGCTTCATTACCGGACGCCCGATGGTTGTCTCTGGTCTGTGTAAAACTCTAACCCCAAGTGGTGCAATAAGGCAGCAAACAGTTTCCGAAACGTTCTTGACCTACGGAAACGCTCGTCAAAATTTGGTGTTCATATGTTTGTCTCTTCGTCCCTTTTGCGTATGCACCGGTTGACTAAGTTGCTTGGGTAGCCATTGGCTTTGAAAACCCGTTGGAAGCATTGTAGTTTTGGCAACCTTGTCTTCTAGTTCACTGCAGTGCGTTTCGACATGTTGATCGAGCATCCTTACACAACTGCGTTTGTGGCTGATTGGGTGGTTGCTATTGAAGTTCAGTACTTAAATCGTATTTGTCGCTTCCCTGAACACTTTGGCCTTCAGGCCTTCAGAATGGTCAGCTGGATGTTTTCTTTTTTTTTACGTCGTAAATCGTATGTCAGAGAAGAACGCATTCAGATGTTCCTTGAATGTTAGAAATTGATCCCGGTCGATAACGACGAAGGTATCATCCACATACCGGGCCGAGAACTGCGGTCTGTGATGTTGGAAGACCAGCGATTCGAACCGTTGCAGGACCGCCTTAGCAATGACTCCCGAAATCGGCGAACACCTTAGTGTGTCGTTCACCTGTTCGTAGACTGTCCCACAGTAAGTGAGGTACGTCCTGAGACAGATTCTCAGTAGTGGAAGGACTTGGGCGTGCCTAAGACAATTTTCCGTTTCATCGTATTTGCTTTGTAGAAGCAGCTCGATTACCTCAATCGCCTGATCCTGGGAAATAGAAGTAAAGAGGGACGTAACATCAAAATATGCCATGGCTTCATTGGGATGGAGTCTTACCCCTTTGAGTTTCTCTAGGAAATATGCAGGCGAAGAGGCCGTGGTGTCCGACTCAGTTGTCAGGAACTTGAAACGGCGGAACAGCCACTTAGCCGGTATGTTTTTTGGGGTACCCTTAAGCGACACGATCGGTCGGAGAGGGGCACCGTCGTTTTGCACATTTGGGTGGCCATACAATCGCTCCAAAGCTGCAGTTTGGGGTTTCACTATGCGTCCGTCGTCAGTGTTATTGCACCTGAGTTCTCCAAGACCAACAACGCAGCATTTTTTCGCGTGTTAACGCCTTGACAAGGTCAGTTGCATATGGGACATAGAACTGTCGGTCCCCCAGTAAACCTTTGGCTTTTTAAAGGTAGTCTGTCCTGTACAGTACAACCGTGGAGCGCTCCCTGTCCGCTGACAGGAGGACCCTCATATGACCTCTATCTACCTCTATTTGATCGATTCGCGACCTCAGCATGCACCGAACTTAAAGGTTTTGGCTATGAGACCGCTGTCTGAACAACGTGTGGAATAAACTGCCTAGGGAGAATGGGATTTTGTTCGACCGAGACGGTGAACAGCAACCTCGGAATATCGTTCTACTGTTATTCATAGTAAATGATTTCATCATTAGAATGTACGCCCAACTGGGACACGTTCGAATCCTAAGACTGAGTGGGCTCTTGAGCAGAGATACTGTTGGCCTGATTCGAAGAACTCAGTATGGAATTTCATTTTGTACTGCAACCTATGCGACCAGCACAACTCACAATGACAATTAACCGGAGTCCCCCATCAGTCAGTTATGACAGGATACCCGAGTGAACGTGCTGGGATTGACGTACTTGGATCTTTAACTCCATCAACAGAAGGCAACCGATATATTGTAGTCATGGTTGACTTCCTCGCCAAGGTGACTGAAGCCGAACCCTTGCCCAATACGTCGGCTTATACAAGAACCCAGGCCATTTTCAGTAGTTTGGTGTGCAGATGAGGGCTTCGCTTGAAAGTGTAGTTCGTCCCAGTCACTGTAAGCACCTACGGTTCATTAAGACCCGCATCACAGGCCTATCATCCGTAGGTAAACGGAGAGGTGAAGTGGAAGAATAGGACTCCGGTCGGGCTGCTAAAACCCCGTGGGTCGGAAGGCTCTTTTACGACGCATGATGCGTTGCCAGCAGGTATGCTTGCACATCGGCAGATGATTCCCGTCTCACCACAACGGACTTATTTTGATCTCACATGTGGCCGGCAAAAGCGGTTAACGTAAGATCTCCAAGTATCATTGGAAACCAATTAGGTACCCGTTAGTTCTGAAGTGGTCGGGCTGCATAAGAAGATGATTATTGCAGCTGGGGAGGCGTGACTACATCTACACGGATTCTGGAGGCGACAGACGGATCATTATGACAGACTTACCCATAGGTGAACATACTGTATCGGTGATGTCGCGTAATCCAGGGAACATGCGTCTTCACCAGGAATGCCGAGTACGTTAGTTTTAGACTGGTCTAGGCCTTATATCCTAACGAAAGTGCTCACGAATACTACCTGTCATTCGGAATGGCGAGCGACCTTTGAAAGTGGAATTCACTGTTCATTTTAATCGATTCAAGCTGAGAGGCCCGACCATCCGAATTTTGTATTGAAGGTAACAAAATGCAAGACGTGGATTGCAACCACGTCGATTTGATCGAGGATACTCTACTCGAATGTGAAAACGAATGCGAGGTTTCTCCCAGTTATATACTTCAAAATTTAGAAAATTCCAGGACATTGGCAGATGACATCAGCCAAGCAGAAAGCACAGAATTCGCAGTGGGCAGCGATAATTTCACGAAGAAAGGGGGGAACTTTTAGCGCGTTGCCGGTTTCCCCTAGAACCATGGCGCCGCAATAGACATCTTCCTACATTAGTCCCATTGGCCATTACAAAACTGCCATATATGGCAAATTGCGACCTCCATCACCCTAGAGGCTAATCCTCTGCATTATCTTATCTGTCATCCTCATGCTTGTTCTGGCCATTCGGTATATTCATAAACCTACCGAATCACCTGCGGGCCCCGAAAATACGAAGAACACCTGATGCGCGAGCACCATCGGCCAAAGATCGGCTCCTAGACGCCTTAACGTTCTCGCAAGCCGGACCAACCATGGACCGTCTGTAGGTTAACCAGTCCTCCTCAAAGGACCTTCTGCGTTCCCTACATCGTCTGAACTCAAATAAGCCCTTCCATCCCCTCTGAGTAACCTCCAGTCTTTCCCTAAGATCACTATCTTGTGTTCTTGTCAGGGTCAGATAGGAGGCTTTCGGCCCTTAGCACAAGTGCACTGTTTGCACAGGTGCTAAAGGAATTCACACCAATTCTGCGTAGCTCCTTAAGATCCAGAACCCGCTAAGTGATTAAACGTTATAAGCTTCGATAGAGTGGAGTGTGCTAGTTATTTTCTGGGCAACGAGGAGAGACACCGGTCAATGGACTTGTAGGTGCACTGACAACTGCCATTGTAGTATACAGCGATGGAGGAATTGATGAAATTATTCGACCAATTTATTTGACAGAAAATCGTCTACTCTTAGCAAAAATAATTGCTATGTTCAGGGTTTGATACTAAAGGGCTTGGCATGGCGGCAGGCAAACTCGATCATTCTAATCTAACTTGAGGTTAATAAGGGTGAGATAGAAAATATGAGAATTATGTACAAGTCTACGCAGAGGGTGACCCAAAAGTGTGAATCAGCATGATAAGACAGGTCAGCACAGCCAAAGATTGGGTATGTACGTTCGTTGGGAGCAATGTCCGCACAAAGCAATTAATCCTTAATCGTTCATTAAAATGACAAGGGAGTGGTGTATAGGACTGTTGCAATATCTCACTTCGCGCCGGCTGATAATTTTAGCCTATTTGGCCACGGTGAGGTCCAACTTTTTGTCCACTGCTTGCCGTCCATTTATTTGTGCGTTTTTGGCCCCATTTAGCATATATGCCTCTTCTTGTGGCGGAGGTGTATATGATCACTAGTAGTTAACTGGATGAGTAGTAATTACTAGTCATCCTCAGCGAATTCTTCAATCACCGTGTTGGTTGTATTTCAAGATATCTTAAAATATCAGAAATTCGAGAGTATTCTCGAATTTCCTCTTGTTTAGGCATTGTGTTCGCAACTAATTATTGGATAGCTAGCGTCTTCCCAGCATATCCTTAGAGTGTTGAGAGCAAATGCGTTGTGGCCTCTTCACTTTGTAGATTAGTGCCCTGCGACCACCGATCTATGCTTAGTTGTCGTATCCCGAGTTATATGAACGAAGGGCTTTAGGGATTGTTTACGTCTGTTATGCCATGATTCGGCAAAGCATGGACCTCACGGTTTGGTTTGCCCTGACAGCTCTCTGTCACCAGGTTCCCTGCCGGTCAATGCGCTTGCGTTGCCGCTGGGCATGCAGGTCGTGTGCATGGTTGCCCAGTAACGTGTGTGATCCTTCTCTTCCTGACCTGTTTTTTGTTGTTGGTTGACATCCTGGTCAAGTGTTTGTCGTGGACCAGGGGGTGTAGCGGTACGCCCAGGTGCGAGTCCGGCCCTGCAGCCATCTGGATCCTCCTGCCTTCGGTTTTCTTGACTGTCGACGCCGAGCTCAGGTGGGGGAGAAGGAGCGAGTGCGGTAGATGCTGTGAAAGTCTTTTATCACTTAACTAATTCACAGAAAAGTAGCCGTGTCTGCCCTCACCTTGCTGTGGAGCACACCGTGGACATCATCGGGAACAACGGTCGAAAGGTTACATATAAGGATGAGAGCGCGGTCCATCCCTTGTAAGCAAAGCTTTCAGGATGCATTTACTTCAGGATGTCCAAAATATGAGGCTTACGCGGATAGGCATCGAGACGAGCATTTCAGTGTTTAGCGACTTCTTGTCCGCCAAAGTGGTGCTTCTACCATCCGGTCGCTGCCTATCGCCTTAATCAGAAGCAGGCATAATTACGAACCAAGTAGATTTTTGAATAGCACTTGGGGATTCAACTCGTACAGGTGTAAAAGCACTAAAAGTATTGTCTGTTTGTCGGAGCTAGTACGAAAATAGGTTTGTCTAACCCAAATCAGTGCAAATCAAAAAGTGCGACATTTATAAATTCAGGAATCTGACGATTTGTTCTCAGTAGGGGCGATGTTACCTGCACCGTGAACGGTACTGAAACTGTCATTGGACTGATCCAAAACTTTCCCTTGCGTTTATGTATATTGTCACCCCTTCTTATCTCTGTCGTTATCCCTTCCTGCATTTCCCACCACAGTGCTACTGCCTGCGTTTGAGATCCAAGACGCATTCGGTCGAGCATACCCAATGACCTGACCGTTAAACGTCTTTCCCACAATATTGAAGATTGCTGGTCGTAACCGACAGTACAATGGGTCCGTGGCCCGATGGTAGTGTCGAAATTAATGCTCGATGACCAAAGGGTCCGTGTTCAAACTAAGCTGTCCAAATCCGAGGTGGGCTAGGACTGACAGATGACGGCTAGCAGATCAGAAATGGCGGTCCGACCTTACCTAGTTTTTGTCGGCACCACTTCTCGCATTTATGCAGTGGGCGAGAAGTCATCCACTCAACACGCAGATGGCAGACTTTCGCCGATATTAGACTGCCATTTTTGTATTCAAAAGTACCGCGAATGATAGTGCAGCGCTTGCTAGGTTGCCGGTCGGCCGTAACGACGCACGAGCTGGGAGCCTTGGAGGTTGCAACTGTGAACACGGCACAGTATCACTACAAATTACGCGATGATCAACTGTCAGAGGAGTCTAAAAATGCGTCTGCCAAAACGGTCTTCCTCCAATAGGGCTCTGACTCACAACCTGTCCTTCCATCGTCTCATGTAACTACAGCCAGTAGTTCTGCCCCATGATGCCAAATTCAGTACGAGGGATGTTTGATCGCAAGACTCTATTGCATCTTTTGAACCGGTTCTCCAGAATTGTGAGACAGAATAGGAGTGGAAACACGCCATGCCGCAACAGGTGTCATCTTTCCTCTCCAGCGCAAACCCCAGATTAGGATTTCCAAAACAGGGGCTCGGGAACTTCTTTTGATACGGAAAATGAAAGAGTATTGTCACCCTGCGCTTGACAGTCGTCATGGTTAAGACCGAATGCTGGTGAGGCTGGAAAACCTCTTGATTAACAAAAGTATTATGCGTTTTCGGCTGCCGTCGAGTTCATAGGGTTTGTGAACGGTACAAATGAGACTATAGAAAGGTTGGGGAAGACGAAAGCCCTCAAAAGAAATAAAGCACTGGACGCGAAAGCCACTGGTACCACGATGGCATGCTTCTACGGCCTACTGAAGCCACACAAGCCTGGAGTGTTTTTACTCCTCATCGTTTTCTTGCGTGAAATCGCAACCTTTGGTTTGTCGAAGTGGCTTTACGAGCGACTGGGCTCTCTCTGTTTAAAGACTCGGAGTGGACGGTGAGGCCTACTGCAGAACATTTTACGCCTGTCCAACGTGTCCAACATCTACAAGTGGGGGCACACGAGGTTATGGTGTCATTTGACATAATCTCGTTATTCTTCTCTATCCTTCCCGCCCGGACTATCAACATTGTTAACCGCCATCGAGAAGAATATACTGAGACCGACCGACAGCTAGAGCGAGTTCCTATCATCGAGCTCCTGGAAGTGTGTATTAAGAATTTCACCACATTCAATAGCCAGGTCTACGAGCAAAAGAAGGGACATCGACGGGTTCACCTCTGTCTGGACTATTCGCCGAAGCGGTTTTGCACAGGCTTTAACGGTTGGCCTCTAGCTCGCACTCTCGAAGTTGTAGGTCAAATACGATGACGACACATTCGTCGTGCTGAGTTTCTAGGAGCTTTTGGATTCAGTCCTTCCCAACATCCAGTTGACCATGGAAGAAGTCAACAATTAGTTGCCCTTCCTTGACGTACAATTTACCAAACTGACAGACGGGAAGATAAGGACAATGGTTTAATGCAAGGCAACTATCGCTAAGTTCATTCTTCATTTCAGAGACAATCACCCTGTTGGTCACAAGTGCACCTATATCATAACCCTATTTCAGCACTTTCAAACACGGCGTAGCGACGACAATCGGAGGTGGAGGGAGGTTGATGAAGTGCTAGCATGCCCAATCTGAAGCTGACGGTTATCCGAAATCTTTCATACGCAAATGTCTCAAGAACCCTCACTCTGAGCGTTGAACGAGGAAAAACCGAAGTTCTGGCTGTCGATTTCCTATGTGAAGAGCGTGTTGGATGCGAAGGCAAGAATCCTGAAACCTTTCGGGTTCGGCGCGGCTCATAAATCGGAATCAACAATCAGACAGCAAAGCATGAGGCTGACAGCCCCGCCACTAGTGACAGAACAATCAGCAGTGGTTTACAGCATACCATGTCAAAATTGTTATGCAAGGTATGTTGTTGGAACTAGCAAGTGGCTTGGCACACGAATGCGCGAACGCCAACATACGCACATAATCAATCGGTGTATGAGATGCGATAAAAGCGTCGCACCTGATGTTTCTTAGAGGCGGAATCGTCTGGCTTTGGGCGACACAGTTGAAAGATCAGTTTGTTAGCCATGCGGTTCGAGGCGCAGTTTTTGAATCAGAACTAGACCCTTCTGACTGTCTTCGTCCTGTGTAATTTTTCCTGGTCTAATTGGGTGGTCGTTGAAATAGAATAACCGATAGGAGTAAGCCGGTTCCTTCTCAGACAGACCATCCCTGCTGCAGTAACGAAAGACGAATTCTTTTGCGCACCGCAGGATGGTGTTCTCATATTTGGGCATTGGAGCCTTTTATATGGACACTGCTACGAGGCTGCCACCACTTAGTTCTTTTATGCTCACATCGGACAACGTGATCACCCAGACCACATTTTACTGCGTGAGAGACTCTGAATATCCTCATATGTTCTAGCCACCTCGTCAAAGTTATCACCGGGTTGTGGCCGCCGTAAACAGCACGGTTTACTGGAGTCACCAATAAGAGTTTAGTACCAAGGGGTAGTCCGTAGGATTCTCAGAATTCATCGCGGCGCTGCAGATCCAACAAGGGTTATTTTGCCAAATGGACATCTCATATACTTCCGATGTGGAGTAAATGGTCTAGTATGCACTTCGCTGATTTCAGACCACTCTACCGTTCGAAAAAACAGCCATTTCAATGACACAACTGATGTGGAGTGAATGGTCGAGTATGCACAACGGGACGAGTGAGTTCCGTAAAAAAATCATTATTGAGCGTCCCTCTACCAATGTATATCCCTGATCGCAGCCGACAGGACGGCGAGCCCCTGGCTCAGTGGTTAGAGGCGTTGGACTTCTATCCAACAGGTCACGGGATCAAGCCCCAGGCGTTCCTCACGTCAGGGTTGGGCGTGACTGGCCACTACGTTACGGCCGGAACATAACAGTAAGCGCCTACAAGAATCGCAGCTGTCCTTCCGTTGAAGTCAGACGTTTAAAGGACCAATAATCCATCTCCAAAATGAGGTTGCCTTTGTGCTTTTTATCTATGACATCGTACTGTCCGCCGCCATTGTCATAGTAGCTAGGACATGTCTAATCCTCATGACGGTTTCATAGTTGCGTCTTGGTGACTTTTTCAGGTTTCCTGCGATTGAATTTGCAAGGTAGACTAACAGAAGCACCCTCCCTTTTGACACCTCCAGGCTAAACAATGTTTTTTGCTGTTTAGTCGACTTAAGGAGGCAACGAACTTTTTGGTCTGAAATCGTTTTCTTAATCTGGAGTTGAGCCCAGGCTTCAAGTCTGTCCATGCCCTAGCTGCGAAGTGGTTATTTTCTCCGAGCTTTCAAAAAGTTGCTCTGATATGCAGCAGCGAGAATGTGACTCTCAGTGTTTCTTTTTCTCCTGCAGTATCTAGACACGCTGTGTGCTTCTGAATGCTTCAATGGATCAAATTCAGTGTACAAATGATGAAGCAACTGCAAGCAAGGCACATTCCATCCGAAGGGGCTACTGGATTGATCCCTACATGAAGTATTTCTGCCCCATGCCTTCGGCAGCTACCCCTGAAATAAGCCGTGGCTACTTTGTCCGCGTGCAGACCTTTGAAGCAATGACAAGGCGGTTCATTCAGGCATACCCTGTTGACTCTCCTGCATCCACTTACACTGTGTCTTTATAGGACTTTAATGGTGACTGCCAGGTTGTGAACTTAGGCGCTGGCTCCGATACTCTTTACTTCCGTTTAAAGAGTGCTGGAGTCCACCCGAAAGCCTTTGTTGAAGTCGATCTGCCGGGCAATGTAAAGAAGAAGATTGTTACCTTGAGGAGATGTAAACAACTTTGGAGCGAGCTATTTCCAGGTGATTTTGTCTAATTTATAATGGCCAGAGTTTCCTTCTGTTCCTTTGAACTTTAACTTTCTGAGCCAAAATAATCTGACAACTGGATCCTTAGAACTGTGCTGTCACTGACTAAGACGTCCGCCCTAAATTGCGGTTTTAGCGCGAGGACATGTTTTTTTCTGAGTGCATTTTCGAATCATTCCTTTCTAAAATGCCTTCTTGTTCACCCCTGTCTAAACTTGCAGTGCGTGGTCGATCTCATGAAATGTTTGCCGAAATTCTGAAATGCGTTTTCGATTGGGATGGATTACTTAGGTGGGGTTGTAATATTGATTAGCATGCAGCATGACCCTATAGCAATTCGGACTCATCAGGATCTCAGCGTTTGGATGCACTCCTTTTTAACCTGTAGAAACCACACTGGGTAAAAAATGGCTACTTAAGTAGCCTGCATTTTTCCTATTCATTTTTGATGGCTTTGTAAGCTCAAATACATTTTATAAAAAACATGCACAAACGCATGCTTTCCTTCACTCCTTTGATAGGAAATCACGTTTTCTTCATATTTCATACCCGAAGAAAGTGTATATTTAAGTTTTTAAAAGTTTCTAATTATGAGATTTTTAAGACCGTGCGATGTCCATGCATACAGGACCGCACATGTTTGTTTACCAGTGCTCCTCATGAAATGTACAACACAGTCCGGATCCATTGCGAAATTTTATGAACTCTATATAGTATCTTCGTAAAGGCATAGGGGAATGTATGATTTTCAATACGCGGAAAGCATGCACCTTGCTGGCTGAAATCGCTGAACACTGATGCAATGGCAGATCAGGCTCAAAAATATTCAGGAATTGGGAATATTTTTAAAACCTTAATATACACTTTCTTCGGGTATAAAATGTGAAGACAATGTGATTTCCTACCGAACTAGTAAAAGAAAGCATATTTTTGTGCCTGCTTTCTATAAAGTGTATTTGACTTTATAAGACCACCGAACATCAATAGGAAAAATGCATGCCACTTAAATGGTCATTTTTCACCGAGTGTGGTTTCTGCAAGAGGCCAAAAAAGAGTGCATTCAAAAGCGAGTCCGAAATACTAAAGGATTATGCTGCATGCTAATCAATATTACAACCCTACGTAATTAGTCCATCGTAAGCGTCATTTTCCCGTCTGATTAGAGATCGAAACCCCAGACGTATCGGTCCTTGGGGGATTTCTTGGGACCTCAATTCTTGACATGTGGTCAGCACTCTCATTTCGATTATCGGGTTATGGGATCTGATGGTCATACTGGATGGGGATTCAAGACCGGACAGCCTCTTTACGCCTCAGGGGCATTACTTCACTTGCGCCACTCAGACGCGAACCCCCGTTCAGAAACGTTAAAGATCCTCTCTTAGTGGACACCCGCCGAAAGTGGGGGTCTTTCGCAACTCTCAGCTAGGTTTGATACATATCATCACAGGTATCATCGCTGTCTTCCATCTACCACTGAATGCCAACACGTGGCTCATTTCGGTACAATCAGTACTCCGTTATATGAACATGATATGACATGCATGCCGCTCATCGGCAGGACTGCAGAACGATCTAGTTCGCGTCCCTTCAACCCCCCCCCCCCCTCCGAGCCAGGATTTATTTTTCCATTATCCCATGTGAACTGTAGACTTAACTGTGGGTTATTTGTCCCTCTATAGACCTCGAGTTTGGTGTGAGCATGGACGGTGAAGGAGACGAAGACGGGTCAAGCATCGGGACCATTTGTTTGCTTTTCTGAACCTTGGAACTCGTGCAGGAGTTCATTGGCAGGGATAACGGCATCATCAGGTCAGGTCGGGTCATCAGCCAATCAGTGGTCCGTGGCGCGGGTCTGGAGGTGACTGCGCAGAGCTCTGTATGCCGGCGTCAGATGGATACACCGATTGAGTTCTAGTGTGCTCGTCGGAGGCCCAGGCCCCGATCAATTTTCGGTTTGTCTTGTTTTTGGCGTGGGGAATAATCTTGGCGGTGGCAAATTTGAACTCCTGACCTGTTTCGAAGGTTTTGTCATCCTCTTGTGATAGTTCTTCACCCCGTTGCACAGCCAGCTCATGTTAGTGTATGCGCGATCCGGACATGCGTTTAGTCTGACCTGTGTAATTAGAAGGACATTTTAGACATGGGTACAAATCCTGATCCGTGAGGTTTAGTCTGTACTTTTAATGATCCTGCTGAGCATGGTAGATTAGGGCTGATGTGCAATGCCAACACCTAGTCCCGTAACAATGCGTTCGGTCGCCTCTGAAATATCTCTAGTGTACGGCAGAGCATGCCATATCCTCGGTGTTGTTTCCGGTGGCGTCCTCCGACGGCGAACACATAGGCATTAGGCTTATAATCGCCTTCGGATAGCCACTCTAAATAGCTTGGTCGAGGAAGTATCGGACCTCGCGGAATTTTTCTCCGGGGTTGAAGAGCGTCCTCACACATGCTTCGTCTGTGAGCCCCCCGACGATTGCTGTAAAAACTGAGGGACCGCATGGTGTTCGTTGCCCTTCTGTAAACCACTGTCTCATTTTTGCCGTCGGGACTTCGTCTGATGAAAAAATCAAGGAGGGGTAGCTGCACTTTATGAAATTCTACAGAATGCTCTCCCGGACGAAAACAAACGTATTGCCAGCGTGATTGCGCTAGAAAGTCGGCTCCTGATTAGCGAAAGCAGTCTTTTCTAACTCTCACTGGGCAATTTATGCTGCCAGCTCTGGGAGCTCATCGCGTTTCCGTTGCTCTGGAAATAAGTTTCTCTCACAAAAATGAAGTAAGCTCCCTGCCAAAATTGGAACAGCCTCGTGAGATGCTCAATTTCAAGCGAGCTTCTGCCCCCGTCCTGTGCCTTCAAAAGTTTCTTGATCAAGATTTCGGGCGCCGTATTCGGAGGGCTTGGCGTGAATAACGACATCACGTCAAAATAGACCATGATTTCGTCCGATTGAATCTTCGTAGGGTTAACTTACGGTAGATGTTCCATCTCATGTAATGTTGACCAAAATTGTGAAATGCGTTTCCGATTCGAAAAAAAAACTACTTGACTAGGCCTGCCGTGTTAACCATCAATGGTATCCCAGTCACGCCAGGATTCCAGCCTTTGAATGGGCTTCTTATCGGCCGTTTGCATATTCCGCTGCAAACTGGCAATCAAGTAGTACGAATTCTCCCCATAGATTTTTGATGCCCTTTTAAAATCAAGTATAATTTATGGAAAAATGTGCAAATATCCCATTTTTCACGTTATTGGCAGCCAATTGCTTTTTCTTTGTTTTCCACTTGAAGAAAGAGTATCTGTCGGTTTTAAAAATGTTCCTAATTATGACATTCTTGACACCGTAAAATGTCCAGTCGTAAAGCATCGCATCTCTTAATGCTGCTTATAAAGTGGGTAGCATTTTCCACATCCGTTTTAAAATTTTATGACTCCTATATCTCCTCTTTACATTAGCAAATAGAAGTTTATGATTCTCCTTACACGAAAAACATACAGTCTGTAGTTCGGAGACTCGAATGCAAGTGTAACGGTGGGTCAGGTTCAAGGTCATTGGGTGATTGAGAACGTTTTTTAAAGCCGGAAGTTACTCCCCGAATCGTGAAATTTAAGGAAGTCATAATTTGATGGCCACTAATTAAAAGAACGAGCATTTTTGTGTATGTTTTCTTTAAAATATTTTTGAATTTATAAGGGCATTAGAAGTCGACGAAAAAAATGCATGCTACTTAAGTAGCAATTTTTTATGAAATATAGCCTGTGCCAGCGGTCGATAGGAAAGTCATTCGAAAGTCGGCATCCTGACGTGACTGGAATATCAAATAATTGTGCGACATGATAATTGATATGATAACCTTACTTTATTGGTGCTTTCGATTTGAATACATATTTCAGAATTTCAGTCCAAATTTCATGAGATAGCATATCTAAACAGAACGTAAGAACAGGAACCGTCTGCAATACGGGTGGCTTTGAGCCAAGTTCCAGTTAAGTTGGGGCTAATTTTAAGGTTGGGGTTAACTTAAGGATTACGCCTATGACTAGATTTAGAGGTAACTGTAAGCCATGATTAAGCATAGAATCAAGATAGGGGCTGCCTCCTGGAATTCGGAAATCTTCGTCTTCTTTAGGGGCTAGTGTTAACTGCAGAGTTAAGGTTTAGGGTAGGGTTAGAATCATACTTAGGGCAGCGGTTTGGCTTTACATTAGGGTTACTGTTGGGGTTAGGACACGAAAACATTTTTGCCCTTTCCAGAACTATACCCAGGTCCAACCTTATTACCTGGGCGGGGCGTACCTATTCTCATGTCTTGTTTTGGGGTCATACAGGTCAACTATACTGAATTCTCCTGCCATGAAAGGAACGCCATGATAGGAATGCCATGAAAGGAACGCCAGTTTTGCGTACACTTTGACGGATTATAGGTAGAGCGGCCAGATGAGTGTCTATTGGTTTTTAATTGAGGTTATTCATTCTCCGTAGTCACGCTTTTGCGCGAGCATTCCTTTATCGATCTGTTACTGCCATGGCTTGTGACTTCTGCACTGGTGGGCAAAATTCACTGTCATTAATGAGAGCCTTGGCCTCCTGTCTGTCCGTTTAGTCTGTTCATGGTATGCCTATTTTAGAAGACCCCGAATCTAGATTGTGCTTTGGAACCCTCTGTTACCACATGCGAATTTCCTTTAATTCCAGTAGCTTGTTTCCCTGAAAATCTGACAGTAGTGTTCCTCTTTAAATGTTTACAATTTCGTAGTGAACTCTCCCTCAGAAGCACTACTACTGACCTATAAGTTGGCCAGACCGCGAGATTAAACGGCATTTGTAAACACTGAAAATCCTCTACACGAGCAGTATTCACTTTGATTACATTGGACTGACTTTGACGGAACCTATGAGAAGGCATTTAGCCACCCTGCATGTCCTTACAATACTGGGGAGTTCCCTGCCATAATTATCACGCGAAATTCAATTGAACGTAAATCAGTCTTTACTTTTATAACTGTAAAAAGCATCACAGAATGATGGGTACTTTTGTAATTTTGGAACGACCTGGGAGAATAATTGGGAGTTTCTTAGAGTTCTGAGGGCTTCACATATCTTCTTTTCCAAGGACATGGTGCTATCATCATCATCATCATCATCATCATCATCATCATCATCATCATCATCATCATCATCATCATCATCATCATCATCATCATCATCATCATCATCATCATCATCATCACCATTATTATTATTATTATTATTATTATTATTATTATTATTATTATTATTGTCATCTCATGTCGGTGAACCATTGTTGTTAATTCCATTTGACCTCCTCACGTTAGATGCCCCACCTCGGTCCGGCCTCGAAGGGGTCACGCCTGAGTCACACCGAAGTTTGAATGCTGCTTCCTACCATCTCCTGAGTCATGACCTACGACTTCCGCCCTCCAGTCTCATTGAGCAACTGTGTACATCGGAGGCGGGACCAAAGCTTTCACCGGAACTTCCAACCCTTTTCCTCGCTGAATGTGTTCTCGTCTACATACCCACGGTCTCCTCCGAAGCCTTGATTCGAAGTCTTTCAAGTTACTTTATCAAGGCCGGCTTCATAAACTACGAACAGGTGCATTCCTCCCCCTTCATCTCCTTTTTATCAGTGTTCTAAGATGGTTGTTTCTATCATGCCGCTGACACAGCAGTTCAAGACTCCAAGATTATGCCTTCTAGCGGCTGGATGGCGTCAGCATGATTTGGGACTTTTATAGTAACCGATCAGCCGGTTACTCTGCCACATCTGAAGGTAGTGCCGTTGCATGCGCCTTGACTGATTATTTGTAAGTCCTAAGGACCTAGCTATTTCGCAATTAACCTTCGCCGGGCAGCGTTCCATGGTCCACTCCATGCGAACGATTTCGGTAGCCCTCGATCAAGACGGCCCCCTTCTTCCTGACGTTCCTGTCCTCACAATAGTGGCCTTGACGACCATTATGTAGCGTTAGCACAGGGCAAATTGACAGTTTGACTGCTGCAGTTGACGATGCCCACCGTGGGCACCACGGAGTAAGCGCAGAACGGTTGCTTGGTCGTTTATGGCAGGGTGGACTTGCGCAGCTTCTGCCGAACTTCACCCCATCAAACCACCTTGCTCTGACGGCAGGATAGTGTTAAGACGGCCTGAGGTGGGCGAGAGCACAGTGTCTGGAAAAGTTAAACAACCCGTCTGCGCGTGCCACACACGACCTGATCCTCCACAGAGGCGGCTCTGTGGGAGAGTACTTGAAGGGCCAGACAAAGGAGTAGCCCTTGCGCTTGATTCCCAATCCTCCAGTCAGTCACTCCACACGCACACAGTGCTGGCTCCGAGGGTCGAGCCTTGCATTCAGTCGGCAATTTTCCAAGCCATGACTTGCTGTGCCAAGGTAGAACCAATTCTCGTGTTTATCGTGGAGTGGATTCCCCAATGTCGGCCTCACACCCCCACTTCCCTCCCACATGCGCCAGTCCACTATCAGACCATGTCAGACAGCTATTGATGGGGTAAGGCGTAGGCAGGACGTGGGCTACCTTTTTCTAGCAGGAGGATGATTTCCGTATCCATTCAGCGTAGTTTTATTGCATCTACTTTGGTCTATGTAGGAGGTTAATGGGATTGATGCCCGGATGGGTATTTTACCTCATTAGTAGCACTTTTGGGAACAAACAAAACTTTTAGCTGTGCAACGAGGTCTACCGCCTGGACTTCAACACTGCCAGTTGAGTCAAATGATCTAGTTACCGTCAATATGGTCGACACTGGTCTAGACCGGCATTGATTTCCATTTAGGGCAGTCCGTTGATCGAGTATTTGTAAACCTAACTGCGGAGCTACATGGTTCTGATTGTCTGAGTTGTGGGCGGCCTTGATGGCTTCAAAAAGGTTCTCAATTCCGCCACGGTCCGAATATCCTGTAGGTTAACCCGATATGTGTTGCATCTCTGAGCTTCTAGTACAGCTGGCGACGGCAGCTGACAATTGCGACCTCGTTGGCGTCTGTACTGTTATTTTAGTATGCTCGGTGCAGATTCTTTATTTCCCCCTCCTCCCCCTCCCCCTCCTCCTCCTCCTCCTCCTCCTCCTCATCCTCCTCCTCCTCCTCCCCCCTCCTCATCCTCCTCCCGCCTCCGCCATCCCCCCGTCTTCGCCGAGCCAGTCCTAGTGTCGCCGTCTCACGGGCTCGACGACCTGTCTCGGAATTGTATAGGTCTCTCAGCTAAGTCGCAGTGTAACATTCCGTCGCAGTGAATAGGCAGTTGGTCGAAACACAACCAGAGGGACTTTCTTTTGACTTGGAAAATTTATCTGGAACTGAACTTAGGCCACCAATGTAGGTGGGTTCGTCCGTACGAGTGCCTTTTCTGATATTGGTGAATACTGGCCACGTAGACAGAAGGTCGGGTGCAGGAGTGTAGTCTTCGACCCTTCGTTTGTGCGCTTTGTTCTTGAACCAAAACTTTCCACAGGCGGACTCCACACCCTTTCGTCTTCTCGCTGTAAGACCCCATATACATTGGGTGCTCATAGTTAACCCGCCTCTCCAAGGTTCTTAATACTGGGCCTGGACTAAAACGTTGCTACAACGGAGAAGTTTACGATTAGATCATGGTCTTGCTGCAGTATTTCAGCATTTGCAGGTTGGATTTACCTTTCACCCAAATGCAACTGTTCTGAAATAACACCTGCTTTGATTCCTAGTCAAGTCCGTGGCCCAATTTTCTCCCTTTTATGACCCTTTTATTATAAAATTAGTTTACTGTGGGCCGTTCTCGTTTTCCTCACAAACCCATCTAAGTTCTTGATCCTACTTTTGGCGTTCTCCTGAATATGCGAGATTCGGTCTTCGAGATATGTCATACTGATGTCTGCCTCAAAGGAGATTTTCAGTAGCTTAGAAATGTCACCTATCCACAGCCTATCCAGTAAAACACCAACATGAACCCGCTCAATAGCACACTAAAACCCCCACACCGCGCATCTTTTAAAAGCAGCCCATAACACCCTAAGCGACACTAAGCATGTTATGATTGAGTCGCTGCACCCACACGTACCCGTGCCAACTTGAATTTCGGGGTTGGGAAGGGGGTGTGGAAACTAAGTTTTCTAATGCTACTTTAAAGCATTGCGAGAGCCAACACTTGAATTTGTTTTTAAAAGTTTGCCGACAAAGACCTGCCACCACCCCCTTTCCTCCGCCGCAAGCTGGTTAGATGTGAGATTTGAACTCGGGGTCAGTCGGTTTAAAGTCCAACGTCCTGCGACAGTCAATGAGTGCCCCTGCCTGTCTAAACTTGCCATCCGAGGCGGATACGTGCGATGTTTCTCACATCTATTCCGCTAACCGATCGCCTTAAGCGGCTTCCTTATAAGCCAACATTTCTAGACTAAGTCTAGTTTGGAGGAAGTGTGGAGAAGGTCAATGTGCAAATTGTGTTCTGTGCATAAGGGAATACAGTTAAAGCAAAGCGATCCCATTGGCTGGCGGCCAGCGAATGTGAGTCAGTCAGAGCAGGGCGCCAGTCCTTGGCCAGCCTACAGTTATTCAGATCAGCGGCGAGGCTGGTTAGTTAGCATGAATGGCCAGGCGTGACAGTACAACGTAGGGAGCCTCACCACATAGAATGCGTGAACTGCAAGTGGTGCGGACGTGCAGGAAGGGGGTCGGATGGGGCCCGTAAGCACATCCTGGCGGCCACCGAGGGTGGGGTACTACACAGTGCCTCTCGTTGGTTCAGGTCCTAACGCTATGAGTTAGTCCTGCACGAACGGTCTGGAGAGTGCGCTAATTCGGCCTTGTGTTTCCTGCGCTGGAAGGGGTGATCTCTTCTGTGTATTCTTGCCAGTTCAAGCATTACTAGCGCAGGCTGCCTCAATCTAATTTGACATTTACGTTGGCGTTGTGTTCGATCTCACTTTCAATAATCTCCTTGCAACACTTAACATAGGTCAACATGAACGACAAATTTGGCGAAATTATGGTTCGCAGTTTTCGCGACAGATCCTGTGAATTACCCGGACTTTCAGCCTGTGGGTCCTTGGATGACCAGAAAAAGCGGTAAGCCATACCTTTTACTACTGGATCTGATTTTACCTGACTGCTCAGTCGTGTTTCTATTTTTACACATAGTGATTGCATTGAACCATGCGTGCTGCCAAAGTCTGACAAGTTGGGCTGGCCATTTGCGTCTTATCTGCCTCGTAGGCGAACTGGTGTGCTTCTCCACCGGAGCCCCAATACCCCGTGCTCACGTCATGCGGGACACTATATTTAAGGAAGTACAGTGCTTGACCGATCTCATGACATGTTGGCCGAAATTCTGAAATTCGTTTTCGATTGGGAAGGAGCATAATCATGCATGCAGCATAATCCTATAACATTTCGGACTCGCCAGGATGTCGGCTTTTGGATGCACTTCTTCTTGACCTCTTCTTGATCTCACAATTAAAAACTTTTTTAAAACCTTAATATACACCTTCTTCGTGCATATAATGCAAAAACAATGTTATATTCTACCAAATGAGTAAAATCAAGCTTATTTTTGTGCACGTTTACTATAAAATATTTTTGAATTTATAAGACCATCAAAAATCAATAGGAAAAATGTAAGCTACTTATGTAGTCATTTTTTTACCGAGTACGGTTTCTGCAGGAGGTTAGGAAGGAGTGCATCCAAGGGACGACATCCTGGTGAGTCCGAAATGCTATAGGATTATGTCGCAAGCTAATCAACATTACAACCCCACCTAAGTAATCCTTCCTAATCGAAAACACATTTTAGAATTTCGGCCAACATTTCATTGAGATCGGCCACACACTGTAGACGAGGGTCCATCTTTGATCAATAGGACCGTCAGCATGTTTTAGCTCTAGGGGCCGTGCAGTCCAGAATAGCTAACAGAATAGTGACGATTAGTGCCGAAGTGTGCCACTGGAGAGGGCCTGACCCCTTCCTACGGTAAGACCGCAACGTGTAGTAGGCGGGAGGCCCACCGCAATGCCGTTTGATAAGAGATTTGACGTCGTACTGGGACTCCTTGTCGATGTGGATGAAGAAGCGGTTTCCCCTTAAGTAGTATGGTTGAAGCAGGTTCGCATTCAACTTTCCGATGTAGACTGTAAAGTGATTGACGCGTAAGTGTACGCATATGAACAAGCAGTGCACTCTACTGAACCTCGTTAACATAATGTAGGGTTATGGACAATTTGGATCTTCGACTAATTTCCTTAGGAATCACTGATACCCCGGTGCACTTGTTCGCGCTGGGGATCTGTTTTGGGCTAGTGACGATTCTAAAACCGGAAACCTGGACTGTGAACACATAATTTTATCAATTTCCAAAGAGAAGAAGTTTAGAGCGCCAAATTGCTTGAACTGAGAGACGATATTCCAGACACGCTGCTGTCGCCTGCATTCGAGCGCTTGTCGCTCTCATCACTGTCTCCTTTTTTTCATCTCTGAAAGGTTTCTTTCGGCTGGCTGGAGTGAAGTTCATTCGTGGACAATCAATGAGATATACAATGCGCTGCCATCAGAGACTACTGCGCGGTATGTTCTCACTTCGGCAGATTTTTATTAAACCTGAGACATTCTTTTATGCTGTTAATCTACAAAGTACCGTTTTGGATCTGCGTTCGGGCAGGGCTATTCAGTGCATGCCCCGTAGCCACCTACCACGACGAACCCTAATTACCGAGGAGCGCGAACTCGGCTGGAATTTTATACCATCTGTCCCTGTGATGACGCTGACCAAAAAACGTTTGATTAAGATGGCGCCAAAGTCCTTATTATGTAAAAGAACTGTGGAGCGATGGGTATCGCACTCCAAGAGAAGCTGTTAATGGTATATCCTTCTCGAGTAATCCTACAGATGCTGTTTTTTGAGGGGATAGGACCCGTAGACTCCGAACACCGCCCGCAAACATAGTTATCACTCTACGATGAGATTGTTGATTTACAGTTACCAGTCTGCTTTTTCACTCCTTACGGTGTCGCAGTGTCTTTACTCATTCGATCACGGGCTCAACACCATAATTTCGTTCCAGTATCTTCGACGAGCGCAGAGTTTCCTTGCCCGGTCTGTGACAATGTCACTAACTTCCACACGGTATTGCTGTGTATGCACTTTATGCCGCACTGCTGTGGATGGCAAGTGCAGCCTTTGGTGGACACATTTTGGTAAGATGTGGTTATGTAGCCCCACCTGACGGACACAATACTGTTGGGGTTGGGGTTAGGACCAGGGGTAGGGGTTGGGGTTAGGGGTGAGGGCAACTATTTCTGAACCACTCAGAGTACAACCGCGCATTCCAAATAGTTTTCTTTCCAGACAACTACTTGACCTCGTCGCTTGTACTTTCCCCGGCCACACCTGTAAAAACCCCTATTACCACCGGTCCCGTACTACAGGTGGCTGGTGGGGCTAAATAATCACATCTAACCCACATTTTCTCAGGGTTTCTACAGCAGGACTCCTATTGGATTGGGGGGGGGGGGGAGGTCCAGAGGTCCACAACCGTATATGAAGTCTCCGGTTTTCCTCCAGTCTGGCCTGCATATTTGCAGGACAACCAGCGCAAGGAATACGGTAGACAACACTGTCCTGCTCTGCTGGGTTCTGCTACGTCTTCGGCCGCGCATTGGGACAACCCCACACAGACATTAAGAACTGGTCGAATTGATCACATTTTGTCGGCTATTGTACTCGGTTTTCGCCAGCCGCCCTCCTGTATAGCTGCCTTGATAAACATCGTCAGACTTTCTGCCCAATTCCGAAAGGAATGCGTCGTCGGAGTTTCCCATGACACCTGCGGGATTTTCTTTAAACACTTCTGCCAGTTCCCTCTCCCCTCTTGAATTTGCTCTATTCAGCCTAGATTTTCAGGGCGCGACTGTGACCTTGCCACCTCTACAACTCTCGTAAACTGAAAAATCTTTGATGCCCATAAGTGAAACGCTTTGCCCAGAAATTGATAAAGTTACTCCCGGCTGTGCTGGTCGACACGGACATAAGTAATCTTCGTTTCCATTGGAGTTCTCTCCTGTAGTATGTAATGACTTGAAACGGCATTTCTTTTTAGGCGTACATCCGTTAGGGGTTATCGATCACTAGACAGAAAGGGGGAGACGGGTGTTGCACCCGGCTCAGTAAAGCTCCACGTACCGTCGAATTCTTCTGCCCGTGGTCTTGGGTCGCAAAACAGACGTGCACACCTTGAGTCAAGGGGGATGTGTTTTTGTGGAGGTTTGTAGTGTCACCGGATAGTAGTCTAAATTCCCTTCTTTTTTGCACTGGTGGCGCATTCTCAAACCTCCAGCTTCCGGACGATTTCCATGGTTTAATTTGTCCAAATCATTTTTGCAGTCGATACGCTGAATAGACGATCACTTTTGATGTGAAGAGAATACTGACAAAAAGATGGAAACTGGAACTACTTCTCCTGGCTTATTTGCCGCTATCACCCAACAGCACCTCAACCCCAACCGTCAGAAAATTCGAAGGTTGGGCGCGGTTTCCTTGATCATTGAACGTTAAATCCCACGCTCTAAGGGCTAACGTCCTGTCGGCCACTAATGTTTGTAGCGTCTACGCAGTGGATGTGCTCATAACACCACAGTAAGTCCACATTAACAGGATAAGACCGAAGGCACTAAAATGAGAGGTCAGATTTGGTTATGCAGCCCCACCTAAAGTAAACAAACCCTAGCCACCTGTAATACTGGACTGGTGGTAATAGGGCTTTTTACAGGTGGGGCCGGGGAACGCACAGGCGACGAGGTCAAGCAGTTGTATGCAAAAGAAAAGCTATTGGGAATGCGCGGTTGTACTTTGAGTGGCTGGGAAATAGTTGCCCTAACCATAACCCCAACCACAACAGTATTGTATCCAGCGGGTGGGGCTACGTAACCACATCTCACCGAATGAGAGGATTTACTATGTACAGAACCCGGTGGTGGCTACTTGCGGTGCCAGCGCCTGTGCTGACGGCGGTGCGTCATGTCGGAGGGAAATCGGTGTCGGCTTGTGGGATCAGACCCAAGTTGTGTGTGTTGCATTACCTTACCCAGCGGGGTCGTGCGCCTAGTGACCTGTGCTGTATTTGCCGGACAGTCACGGGTTTCAGAAGAATATGGACGGCTGACTGTCTGATGCACGCTTGCGTGAGTGTTGCAGTCGGTCAGACAGTGGTAAGGTCAGCTTTCCTGGAACCGCTCACAGGCCCGGTGGATGGCCGACCTTGACGCAGGAGGCAAGTAAACAAAGATGTGGGGCATCGCAATGATGGCACTCAGGCTACTGACATGTAACTGAGGCACTGGAGTTATCAGTCCAGGGCTTTTATTTGCTATTGCATTCAACGACTCCCGTCTTCCCTATAGGATTGAACGATTGGAACTGTTGGACGACCGCGAAATCACAAGTCAGCTCTTCGATCACTACTGCATCCTGCTGGCTATCAATTCAACATCGGTCTGCTGTTGGAATTCTCTTCAGGCCGCTCTCGCTGATGTCAAATAAGCCGGCCAGACTTGCATGCCACGTGTTCTAACAGACTACTTGCAGTTTTGAGTGCTTTCAACCAGTTATAACGTGACTTTATCTTTCAATTCTGATGTCTTGCACCTCCTAACACTTCTATTCCTGATCCTGTAGATTCTAACAACTATTTTTCCTAAACCTCTACCCCATCATGCATCTCTCCCAGACCATATCCTTGGCTCTCCTCCTCCTCCTCCTCCTCCTCCTCCTCCTCCTCCTCCCTCCCCCTTCTCATTCCACTCATTTATCCTTCGGCCAGACCTGCATGCCGTGTCTCTAACAAGCTATAGGCTTATGTGCTTTCGGACAGTCGAGGCGTGTATCCTCCCCCCGTTTGCAATTGCATTTCGGCTTCCCTGACGAACGCATGACTTGTTAAAGCAAAGGGTGGACATTTCCTGGCACGGTGCATGACAATGCTGGCAGCTTTCACCCGACTGTGGCTGCTGGCTGATGATCTAACTCAGACCTCTTAGTCGACCCAGTGTATGCGCATGGAGTGACCGACTGGTAGATCGAGAGTCAGACTGCAATGGCTCCTTTGTGTGACCTTTATTATACTAACTCTTGTGTGCTTCGAGTCGCCTGCCTCTCCACCCTCGTACGATATCCTGGTGAATTGTGCGGTGGATGGGGAGGGGGAGGGAACAGGGCGTATGTGAAGCAAGCCCAGTCGGGCTCTCATCCACTGCGCCGAATCTCCGCATCAGACAACTGACAGGCTCGGACAGTGGACTGGTGTCTGGGAGAGGGAAGGGAGAAAATGAGGTCAATTCTCAGCGTATATTCCTCGTCATGAGCAATCTGATGCGCTTGAATCTACCACAGTTGCGCTGAAAGCCGTGACTTTGAAGGCTGACAACTGACGGGGTAACTCGGTCTTCCTCTCGGGACGAAGAGTCGGGTTTTCCTATTGTGGTCTATATGGAACTTCCATTCTGTTAGGATCTGAGCTGACCCCCCCCCCTTGTGTGAAATCTTGGTTCTCTGTGCGTGGATCCGGGAGTGTGGTGGCATGCCTCAGTGAAGGTTCATGCCTTGTCAGCCACCTGCGCCCGATCCCGCTTCCGATCTTAACACTGGGCTCAGGTGGGGAGGGGGGGGGGCGGGGGGAGGAGGGGGTGCGTAGGTACTACGCAAGTCTGGCATTATTATAAGCTAATTCGCACCCCCCCCCCACCCGCCGTCTCTGCGTCCACCTTACTGTGGGGCACAATCTGGACATCGCTGATGGAAGAGAACAGGCGAGTTCCAGGTAGCAGTTCAGAAGACGAAGATATGATCACTGGAGCAAGAAATTTATTGGTCGGACTTTTCGGATTCTCACTCGAACCCATCATCAGAGACAATCGCAGATAAGGGTACTGGTGGCACAAGGAGTGCAGTATTTATAGCACGTGGATGCCGTGGGACCATATGTGCACTTGTGACTGGGAACGGGAAGAGAGAGAGAGAGAAGTGGACTCGGGATCTTAACACTGAGTTCAGGTGGTGGAGGGGAAGGTGGAATCACCTGAGTAGTACAGTAGCGAAGATCTTCGCAGCAACGTCGATGAGGCTTACGCCACGGTAGTTCTCGCATCTTGTCTTATTTACCCTCTCGAGTATAGGTACAAGGATGCCTAAGCCCCAGTCATCAGAAACAACGTCGTCTCCCCACGCTCGTTCAATCATCCCAGGGAGCCAGGGCGCCGGAGTGTCCACACAAGACTTGTAGATTTCAGCGGGTATACCGTCCTCTCCGGATGCCTTATTGTTGCGTAGCATTCATATGGCATCGACGACTTCTCCTTCAGAGAGGGGGTCGCATGGCACTGCCTGGGAGAGGGAAGAAACACCGATGAAGAGGAGAGCAAGGGCGTGGTGGGTTGGGTATCGAAGTTGAGATGGTGGTCGAAGTACTCACGCCAGCGCTCGACTTTGACCGAGTTGTCAGCATTAAAGTCGCCATTCACGTTGCGAACAGACACACAGTGTAGAGGGCTCACTGCTTACTTGGCGGGTCAGACGGTAGAGTTTTCGAGTGTCACCAACGTTCGAGGCCTGTTCCATGAGGGTCGCTATTTCAGCTCAAAATTGCTTCCGGTCGTCCCTGGCCGATTTTGCCGTCATCTTTCGAAGTTGGCGGAAGCAGCCATCGTTAAAGGACCTAGCTCGAGCCGTCTGAACACAACTGCGGGGTTCTTTCGCTGATCCAGTCATTGTGGCGACATCGAGGCGTATGGGACGTGGCATTTTTGGCGCGGATGCGAGATGATCTTTCAAGCGCGTACGAACGAGGACATGGTCCGACCCATGGGCGTTACCAGCCTCGGCACCACGCATCGATCTGCCATCGTGAACCCAGCTGCGGAACCTTGAGCTAAATAGTATGTAGTCAATCTGACTGACCGTATGACCGTCGTTTGAATACTAGATCAGCAGATGTTTTTTGCGATGTTGAAAATATGCGTTGGTGACAAGCAGTCGGTTTTGGTCAGCGAAGTTCAGCAATCTCTTACCATTTTCACATCGTGAACCCAGTCCAAAGCGACCAAAAGATGACTGGTTGTGGGGTCACCAGGTCCAGTTCGAACATTCCAATCGCCAGCAACAATCCGCAGGTCGCGGCGAGGCAGTCTTTCAACTAACGCATGCAACTGCGAGTAAAACGCCTCTTTATCGCGCTGTTCGGCAGCTGAGGTTGGTGCGTACACATAGACGATAGGAATGTTCGTGAAGTGACCCTTCAGTCCCACGTAAGCCATTCGGTCATTGACTGGTTCGCAAGCAAGTAGCGCGGAGTCCGCTTGTTGCGATAGGGCGATCGCCACACCGTGTCGACCAGAAGAGTCGCGCGGGCCGCTGTGATACAGGGTCAAGTGTGATTCGACTCCCGGGATCTTTATTTCGCGGGAGCCTGAGTCAGGAAGTCGACCTTCAGACAGACAACAGGCATCCACGTTGTACTGATCAAGGCTGCGCGCTGTCAGACTTTGGGTACCGTAGTCCACAAAAAATGTGTGCTACTTAAGTGGTCATGTGTTACCGAGTACGGTTTCCACAGGAGATTAAAAAGCAGTGTATTCAAAAGTTGTCATCCTATTGACTCAGAAATATGATAGGGTTATGCCGCAAGATAATCGGTATGGCAACCGCGCCTACGTAATGCTTCCTAATCGAAAACGCATTTCAGAATTTCAGCCAACATTTCATGAGATTGGAATGCGGGAGAGGGAGTGGGGATAGGGGGGTGGCGGAGGGGGGAGTAATTGCAGTCATTGTCAGGGGCGGGGTGAAAGTGGAAGGGTGCGGAGAGTTGCAGCGTTGGTCGACATTCGACCACTGTAGGCGAGGAGTATGAACGTGGTTCTTCTGTGCGCACAAGATTGGCTTTCGTAACCTGATGTGCTCTTGAGATTTTATCCATTAAGACCTACAGAAGCCGTGAAACGGGGAGTATTTTCAACATTCCCCGCCCGTCAGGCACTGGGTGATGCTGCCTGGGACTGCGTCTGCACGTCCTGATTTGCTGGACGGAGGCCTTTCATTTGCTGACTTCGGGTGTTTGTAGAAATCATGACCTCGGGTTGCTTCGGCTTTTGCCGTTTGCGCACCATTTGACCTGTACATGGTCATGTGTACATGGTCACTACATGCATCCGTCCGTCGAAGTAACATCTGATTTCCAGTGTATATGGTTGCTGGGACAGAGAGTTCTGTCGTACGTTAGCCGCCCCCGTATCTGCGGATTAGCTCTGACAGTTCGACCGTCGATTCCGACGATTTCCACCGTGTGCTGCGCAGCAAGGTGCAGCGGGCACGGAGACTTGCGCGTGAATTAGTTTATAGTGCTAGAAGACTCAGGCATAATTTACCGCACTCTCTCTCTCCCCCATTCCCAACCTGGACCCGATGTCAAGACAGACACAAGAAGACCGGAGGCAGGGGTGGGCGTAGGTGGCCGGCACGGCCGGACCCGCACCTAGGCGTGCCACCACACCCTCTGGTCCACGGCATACACTAGACCAGGATTTTTCACCAACAACAACAACGACACCGCAACAGGGGCCAGAAAGACGAGGGTGATGACTGGGCAACCATGCCCACCAACCATATATACCCAGCGGGAACTTAAATGCATCTACCGGCAGGGAACCAGTTGTCAGGGAACTGCCAGCGCATATCAGGCTGCGAGGGCGATGGTTCGCGGATAGTGGCATAGCACACGCCTTCAGACCTTTTGACCGCGGACCATCCCACAGTGTTGGAAACAACCATGGCAACCCCTGACATCACACTATGATCGACTACACCAGTCCCACCCTAACTGGGAAGCCAGAACTCTATAATGCAGCACGATCGTGGCAAACAGAAGAAGCCAAGGGAGATTGTCGTCGATGGCAACAACCCCCATCTCGACATCCACTCGTCCAAGGCAGCGGGAATCATTACGATCCTGACGCTGTAGCACCGTCTCGCGCGCATTAATTTGCTTATAATTAATCAAACTAGTGTGACATCTACCCCGCTCTCTCGCACGCATCCTGTGCCACGGCTGAGACAAAGTCAACGCGGTCACAGCGAGATCTAGGCGTAGTTTTTGGTGAATATGAGCGGTCTATTTCCGCCTACTACGCACATACTGGCTTCTGTTCCTCACGGGTCAGGCTTCACAGAGAAGTTTCGGTGTTCACGTGGGCTAGAGCACCATAGAGACCAAATTAACGGGAGCCTCTTGTAGTCTAACCCCCACCCCCAATGCATGAATGGGTCATCCATCAGCTGGCAACACTCGAAACCGGGACTCCAAGCGCTCTGCGGTAATGCCATGCACGTCAGCTTTGTTGTGGCGAATAATGAACTGAATTGCCGCAGGGATACCCCACTCTCGGCCAAACTTCTCCCACGTGTCGGGGGGCTGTCCGAACATGTAGGCAAACTGACGATTAGGTCGGATGCAGTAGCTGAGGGTATTGCAAAAGCCTTAGCTGAGTGTG